TTATAGATAATTTCTAAATTTCCTGGTTGCACACCACCAATTCAAGCATCAAACCTGACAGAAGAGAGCCAAATCTCTGATCCTGCAATAATGGTAAAAACAGCTTTTGTGGAGGTATGCACAATGTGTTCCTGCTGCTGTTTTTTCATTAAACCCCACAGAGGAAAATTTTGCCCTCAAGTGGAACTCACTGTTGTTAGCTCTGCATGTTACTCTAGAGAAACAAATTGGTTTGAGGTAGCTTGTTTTGAGGCACATGCAGTATGAAACCCCTGAAAGCAAAGCCAGGGATGTTGCTGCCTTCTGAGCAGAGTGCAGAGAATTGTGGTTAAAGGTGCAGATCAGCATGCAAAGCTGCCCATGAGCAAATTACTGAATGTTTTTGTGTCTCCAGGTTCATATGCAAAATTAAAATTTTGTCTTGCATTTTTTGATTTAAACTGTTGTTCGTTAATGTACTTTTGGTGGTCCAGGAGCTGCAGGGAAAAACAAACCACAGAATTTAGCAAAACATTTCCTCTGAAGTTTTGTGTCCCTCAAAGTTAAAGGTACTGCCTAAAATTATTGCCATTAAAATATATTATTTGAAATAAAAGTAATAATACTTTTAAAAAAACAAAGCCCCCAAACAGCAAACCTCAGCTACACTATTTACCCATGCCTTTTCTGTACAAGCTCACGTCTTCACTTGAGAAAGCAGGTGAAGAAACAGTCCTATGTCAAGATGATTAACAGAATAAACAATATTATTGGGCTAGCCAACTGGTTGGTTAAGTGACCTGAGGGAAGAAGATTTTGCCTGAATATTCATCTTAGTGTGAGTTTTTAAATAGTTGAAATTTTTTGTTGATCAGGAGGCTAAGCCTACATTTTTGAAGATTGTGTGGGGGAAAATAGGTGGGGGAAGTGCAGGGGAAGACTAAGGTGACAAGATAACAGTTATTAAAAATCTTTTAAACTAAAAAAAAGACCCAACCAAACAACCTCAAACCACAAATAAACTCAATAAAATTGCATGAAGTAAAATGTGCTCCACCACAATTTTATTTCCTAAAAATCAAATATTGCTGAGAAACTGATATTGGCATGATTGCTAGAGAGAAATCTCAATAACGAAGTCACCACATTTATACACAACTGTGAACACATTGTGACAGCCTGGGCAGCCTCTGGTTAATGAGCAGAAAGACTGAATAATCCTCTAGGTCAGGATGGAGCCGCCCTGCATCTGCCCTTGTTGCACTTTAGATTGCAAATAAATAGAAGGCACCCATCAGATATTTGCTATTTGCTTTTGGGTTTTTACAGAAACTAATAATTTTTAAATAAGAATGAAATGTATTTATGTTAAAATTATATGTATTTCAGTGTGATTATTAGCTTTATTTGCAGACAAACATCATTAAAGCTACTGCATGCCTATTTAACAGAACCACTGGAGTCAGCCACAGCATTGCTGAGCAATCTCTCCTTGGTCTTTACTGAAATTGTTCTGTCTCCATTCATCATCTAGAATTTTAACAATTCCTTTTTTTGACAAATACATGTATATGACAGGAAATAGAAGATATAAGGAATATTTATACTATGACAGGAGTTCCCAAGGCAATCTGAATAAATATTTTCAGTTGGATTTCTTAAAATCCCTGTGACCTCACTTTCTAAGATCACAGTATGGATACTTTTGTTTCTGCAAATGTTGCAGAGGCTAGCAATCACTATTAAATCAGTTTGGAAAAAAGTTATTGTAAGAGCATAAAACTAATCAAAATACCCCAGCACAATTAAAATAGAATATATGGGGTTTTTTTCTGATTCTGTAGTTACTATGCTAGAAACGTAAAATATGTAAATAATCTTTTCTTTGGTAGAAACACTGTGAAGTTGATGTTCCTATCTGCATATGAAAATTTTGTTTGTCCCAAGACACCTGAGATAGTCCCTATTGGCCTGGCCTTGCAGCCCTCCAAAGCCTCTGGAAGCTCTGTGCAAGTCAAAGGCCTTAGCCCATGGTTAGGCTCCAGGTCTTGAAGATTTACACATAATTAAAAGAAGTTTATCTCCAAAATTTGAGGGATCTTATTGTGTAAGTTAACGTGGAAAATATTGGAAAGGATTAATTGAGAATGTCAAGCCTTTTCCTCTGAGAATAAATTCTTTTTGACTAGAACAGGAGACAGTTAACTTCTGAAAAGCATCAAGACTGATGATTTTGTCTATATAGCATTGACCTGGAAGCTCAGCCATTCAGACTAATAAATCAGGCAATTTATATTTAATCATTAACTAACTCCCGAGCTGAACAGCTGTTCAAAATTAGAAATGGGTCACCCCGGCCAGGATGACATTACAGGCAATCTATAATGCATTAGAATAAAATTATAGTGATTTTTAACTGTCTGGAAATTTATTACACTGCATGTTCCAACTCTTAAACCCTTGTTAGCCAATGTCACTAGTGATTTATGGTGCTTGGCTGGTATGGTAAAATTACTGAAGATTTAAATAGACAATCATTCTATGTTTAGCAAATCTTCAAATTTCAAAGCTATTTTGGAGAATGAGGTGGGTATTCTTTATTGTTTATGACTTACCCATCAGTGACAACAAGAATGAAGAACGGATAAATCAAAAAGCCCTCTTGTAAATTAATGGATTTATTGTCTTGTTGCCCTCAGTTAATGATTTAAAGAAAAATCCAATGACTTCTGTAGGCAAAAATGGATGTCTAAAATACCTCAAAGCAAAACTGCTACATTGCAAAGATTGCTGTTAGAACCTTTATCAGGAATGGTCTTTACTTGCCACCCATTGGGCATCTCTTATAGATGGAACTGGGGTTTAGGAGGCCTTGACACACCAAATTCCTGTGTTTACACTGTGAAGCACATACATGCTAGCTCTTTAAAGCAGCATACTTTGATTAAAGATACTTCTATTTTCTTAGTACTAAAGATTAGATTAAAGACACCTCTATTTTCTTCTATCTTCTTATAGGACCTTCTATATTCCTCTTTTATAACAAAAGACTTTGAGTCCTCTGTTATCATTGAATTCTGTCTGTCTTCCCAACACGGAATGTTTAACCATTTCAGTAAGTATTTCTGATTTTTCTGAAAAACATAAGTGGAAAATACTTCATGAATATAAAATTTAACAATTATTTTATTACTTTCATTTTGTACACGTAGAAAATTGTGTTTTAGATGAGAATGAGTTATTATTTGAGATTGATTTTATAATCTGTACAGCTTTCAGAAATGAGCATGTGTAAAAGTTTTCTTTTAAGCCCTGAAGCAGATGACACCAGCAAAAAACAAGCATTTAGTATCAAATTACATGAAGTATAGAGGATATTTTCCATTCAGAGATTTTCATTGATTTAGATTACATCCTGGAAAAATATTACTTGATTACTATTATTGCTCTGGAAAAGCAAACGTCTGTATGGGCAGAGCAGAAATGGACGTCCTAAAAGTAGTTCCTGGGTCCTTTCCTTCTTTCATCCTGGCCCTTTCTCTGCTTCAGTCGCTGGAGAATGATTTCCTGAGGCTTCCCTAAAGCAAGTGAACAAACTATGAGACAATTTTATCTGCAGCATTTCAAACAGTACAAACAAAGAAGAAAGGTTATGACAGTTTATTCCTATTTTACACCAAGAATTTTATCCATTTGAAGATTACTCTAATGGGCAGTCAACTTTTACTTTCCTCTCCATGTCAAAGTTATTTGAGCATGCATTCATGCATAGGTTCATTCCTTTGCTGGGAATTGTACACAGAGAACAATCAAAGCATAATGTGCCAAAACTGCTAGTTTGGGATTTATGCCTTGTCACAAATCCTGATTGAAAAAGAGAGGATCCATATCTTAAATGTCAATTTGCTTTAAAGAAGATACTTCCATTTTCTGAAATTCTTTAGTAACCATCTTAAATTTCAAATAGATGGTGGGCTGTCTTTATCACACAACTGGAATAAAATAACAGATTTCCACATAGCTGCTTATAATAAACATCAAGATCTGAGACCATTCCTGACTACTCATCCTAAATATCCCAGGGTTAACATGGTTTAAATGAACTCTGCAAAAGATCAAGGGAAACCAGGGCTCTCTGTAGCAAAAAAAAAAAAAAAAAAAAAAAAAAAAAAAAAAAAAAAGAAAATTATTCTAGAGTTAAACTTTGACAGAATCATTGCAGCTGGAAGGAACCTTCTGAGATATTCCAATCCATCCTCATTGATCAAACAGGATTGATTAGACCAGATTGTCCAGGACCATGGAAATTCCACAACCTCTCTGGGCAAGCCTGTGTGTTTGGCCACCCTCACATTTTCTCCTGTCAAAATTCCAAATTATTGCAGCCTTAGCTGAGTAAGATGTTTGTAGTTAGTGGGTAAAAGAAGAAAGATAAATAAATCCCTGCAGGTCTTCACAGAATCATAGAACATGTGGGGTTTGAAAGGACCTTAAAGACCATCTAAGTTCTAAATCCCCCAGTGCCATGGGCAGGGATACCTACTCTGCTGCCTTTCTCCTCCCCTTGGAAAAAAAGTGGAAAAAAAAAGAAAAAAAGTAGAAGTGACATCTTTATTCAGGTTGAAACATCTTTTTCTTCCTCTTTTCTGTCTTCTAATATTCTGGTTTCCTAACCTTTTCTGCATGTTGCTGGAACTGCCTGCCCTGGCAGCAGGTGCTGCCAATATTGAAATGTGTCTACCATGTTTTATCTCATCTAGACAAAAGCACCAGTTACTGAAAAAATCAGTAGAGAGAACGTTTGACAAAGAGTTCTATACCATTGTTTTCAGCCTCAAAGGTTTCAAGTCACCACCAGAAATTCTGGATTGTTTCCAGCCTTTGCAGTCTTTGGAAGTGTATCTTGCTGATTAAGTATCTCTCTTGTACTTTTGTGTGCTTCTGGTTAATAATATGGAGATTAAACATTCTGTCCCTTCCATGGTGCTCAGGAGATAACATCTTCTAATTTTGCTTTGCAGTCCAAAAAACGCATTGGAGCCAGTCCATTGAAAACCTCAAAGCACAGAAGAAAACTTTCATGGGGTGACATCTTATTGACGGCAGGATCTGTGTCTCACTTTGGAACCTTCATAAAACATCACCAGGACCCAAAGGGACATTTCTGGATTCCTCCTCTAAAGGTACAAAAAGTAAAATTTGAAGTACAGATCTGTATATGCAAGGGCCTAATTGAAGGTGTTTGTTTTCAAGGATATGTCCATATGTACACTTACATGTATATATATATATATACACACATATATACATATATATATAATATATATAATATATATTATATATTTATATATGTGTATATATATATGTAGTGTGTGTGCACAGAGGCATACTTTCCTCAGATTACAGGTATCTTTTAAGGAAAATGAAAGAGAGAGATTCTCTGGCAGAAGAATATCCCTTCCCTTTTCAATTCTCAATGCCAAAGTCTGCTCTTTGTGACACCTTTGTAACAGCAAATGCTGTAAAAATGATACAGAAAGACCTATTCTGTTCAGCTTCTCAGCTCCAGGAAGAGCATGTAGTTATGATAATCCCCATTTTTCTGCACATGGAGGAAATCACGATAGTACTCTGTAAATACATAAAAGTTCCAATCCTTTGTCTCTGCAAAGCTTTCTCTCTCCTTACTTTTTAAGCTTTGGACCATTCTTTTCTTTCTTAGTGCAAATTCTCCTCCCCCTTTTCATACTTGTTTCCTATTTCTTATGTTCATTATATCATGATGAATGTCGTTTATTCTCAGAAATGTGTGAAATGGGCAGCACTTACCTCATTTTCAATCACAGATCTATGACACAGCAGGTGAGCTGAGTTATGAGGACCCTCTGAAAATAGAGTTAAAGCCAAATTCAAGTTTCCAAGGTCAGCACTCGGAACAGACATCTCTTTGTAGACATTTTCTTTGTGCTAGAGTTTAACAGTTGCTAATTTGTCTAGAGCTTTGCTTTACCTGGAACCTCTCCCTGTCCTTCTCCAGCAAAAAATTTGCTTGCAGATAAAAACCTTTCTCAGAAACCTCTTTCTATCTTGCAGCCTAGGTAGAAAAAACTGCCCTGTATATTTTCAATAGTAGGACTCTGGAAATAAATGTCATTCTTAAATCTTTTAAGACTCTTCTGAAATGGGTTGAACATTTTTATGAATAAAAGTAAACCATACTGCGACGTTTTACTTCTAAAGATGCTTTTACTGAACAGCAGTGAGATAAAATACCACATTTCAGTTTTGATTGCCTGCAAGTGAGGAAGAGTGGAAAATAAGAGATAAATACCCTTGAAAAAACAAATACCCTAGTTATGTTAAAATAGATGTTTATTAATAGTTCTCTACAGAAGGAACAGCAAGTAGTTTTATGTCATTAAGTATCAGCTTTGTGCAGAGATGGTGACAATAGATGTACCTATATATTCAGATATTTTTTGTTCATTGTGTGAAAATTAATATTAGGAACTCTGATAATACCCCAGTGCTATTGTTTTTCACAAGGAAGTATTTCAGCTTGTGGAAATTATTGTATTGGTTGTCTTACAGTCCAGAGTTAAAACAAATCATGTATTCAGTCTTTTGATGTATTTAGATGAACGTGTTACACATGGGAGATAGATATATTGCATGCTTGCAGAAGGGAGTGTATGCCTGCTGGGACCTCTGTGTTTGTATTTTCAGCACATTCATCAAAAGTTAGGTTTATTTTGGGGTCAGAGATTAGAACCAATAGTTAGACAATTTAAGGTGTTGTTAACCAATAGTTAGACAATTTAATACTATGGTAACTATGACACTGTGCCACAGAAGCTGCGCTAGAGGTACGGTGCTACTCTTATTACTAATAATTGTGCAAATTTAGCTCACCTTAAATATATGTAATCTTTTTCATTATGAATAACTTTCAGATATACATGGGGGTTGTTTTTTGTTTCAGTGTGTACTTTTAAAAGAAGCTTCAGTCTAAAAGCCAGCAGTGAGGACTAGACATGTCCAGAGAGAAAGGAAATTTTGATGGAAGACTTTTTAAGATACTTCTGAATGGGGGCAGGAGGTAGTTCAGGTTTAATACTGATGATGCAGTGCTTTCCTTTATTTATGGCTTTTGAATTCAATCCAAAAATCACTAATAAGGAAGCCTGCAATAACACCATGAAGGACTTGGTGGGGGTTTGCCCTTTACTTCAGTAAGGAAAAAAAATAATTCCAAGCATCTGGTATAGCTCCTCTATCACACTTCCACCAGCCCCTCTTGTTTGTTCCAAACAACTTATTTATTCACTCTCATTCTGTTGTGCTGCATTAGGCATTTCTCTTCCCACCCAAACCTGTTTGGTAAGCAGTGATTTCAGGCTTTCCATTTCTATTTTATTTCATCTCCTTGCAAGTGCCTGTGAGGGGCTGGTACCCAGGAGGTGTGGCTGTGAGATGGCTGCTCTGTGACAGACCCCACTCAGTGAAGGGGCGCTCACACGAGAGCTTTGCTGCAGCTGCTGCCCCACAGGGAGCTCTGTGGCTGCCTCTGCCCCTGGAGATGGCCCCATTCTCTGCCTTTTGAGGGTAGCTGAACTATATTAATAAGATGCCATGGGAATCCTGCTTTAATAATTTTTTTTTTGTGGATGAATACTGATTTATGTTCCAGAAATAGGTGCTCAGAGCATACAGAAGCATTGAATTTGCAATATCAGAATACAATGACTTTTATAATATATGATGCATTTTTAACTTTATTGAACTATAAATATTTTTATGAAGTAAATGTCTTGAGAGAAAACACTTTTGTAAAGTCTGTTATAAATATGATAAACTGCTTCTTGTCACTTTTCTTTCATCTGAAACTCCACAGGGATCCTCCTTACTTTTCTGCCTTACTTTAATTTATATCCCCCCCAGTTGTCTTGTGCATTGCACTGAGTCATGTCTTGCTGCTTGGTAACCTTGCTGGATGATAATATTCCACTCTGATTCTAAGGCTCCTTTTCCTGAGACAGAAGGCCTGGACCCAACTGCCACATTGAGGGTTGATGCTACAGCTGTGGCATGGAGTAAAAGGGGTGATAGGATGTCAACAGAAAACACCACTGTTCTAACAAACTGTGAGTGCTGACCTCTGATGATAGATCCCCAGCAACAGGGAATAAATGGGTAAAGAATAAATATGGAGCTGACCTTAAAGTCGTATGTCTAGGACAGAAAGGATATGTGCATGCTGAAGAATTGGCTTTTGCATTTACTGCCTTCAAGTTACCCTAATTTTCATCAGAGATTTTTGTTGAAATGCACTTACTTAAAGAATTGAAATATTACAACAATTCTGCTCATCTATTCATAGCATCATTTTCCTTTTAAAATTGTGCTTGAAAAGGTGCCCTTCTTATGCTATTTTCAAGTCATGAGAAAGAAATTAAGTGAAGGTTGATGTGCACTACTTGTGTGGGTCAAACTACTTTTTCAACAGGTAGGGTGAAAAGCCTGATGGTAAAACCTTACTTATACTCTACAGTTTGGTCAGCAGATCACAGCATGTGCACCTCACATGCATGTGCAGCACTCAAGGCAAAAGCCAATACTGGGTCATTTCCTGGTAAACAAACATATTTTTAGTTCTTATACTTATGACTGAATTATATGTTAACTGATAGCACTGGCAAGTAACTGATCTCCTCATGTGTTTTCTTATCTTCACTTAGATTTAGGGTGATAATGCTCCATTTCAAAGGGTGTTCAGAGTATTTTCTACGAAATTCCAGATATAACACACAATTGCACAACACACAAAATGGTCACAGTAATGCCTGAGTTTTAAAATAAGTCTTAATCATCTAGCCTGTCTGCTCATTTGATTCAGCTCTTTTCCATTATCTGTCCTGGTTTTTTTTTCATTCTTTTTTCCAACTCTTACAAATAATCATGATTTTTCATTCACACTCAGGGGTACCCTGCTCTGTCAAGTTATATTGTCTGATTACTTATCTTTCCACTATTATTTACTCCTTTTGCCATGCCCGTTGAAATAGATTTCTCCCAAGTCATTCAGATTCTAATTGTTCTTGAAGTCCTTCAAGGAATTGTTTATAATTTAAATCAGTTTATACCAAAAACTGTAACACAATAATATGTATGAATATATAGATATAGATTGATACAGATATAAATATATAGATATATGCTCCCCAACATTTCTATGTCAATTCCATACTTCCATATTTGCTTATAAGAAAAACCACGCTCTATATATATATATATATATATATACATACATATATATATATAATTTTTTAATATGAGGAATAGCAAGAGCATAGGTAGAAAGATGTTGAACTCAAAACTGTCAAACTCTTAAACACTGGGAAATTCTTTGTAAACAGTTTAACCACATACTTTTAGAAAAACTTCACCATTTATATTATATAAAGGAAATCTTTCTACAACCAGTATTTATCTAATATTGGAGGGGGGGAAATTATATTTTTCAGGTAAAGTTTTCTGAAGACCATTGAAAGAGCTTTGGCTTTTGATAAGACTGTAAAAATTGAAAACATGTGTGACTCTATTGATCCCATACTTGATCCTCTGCTTGGAAGACATACAATTAAAAAGGGAAGGTATGTATGCTTGAGTAATCAGAATTTTTCCATGACAACTGGATCTATATTGCCTTAATTGCCACATTTTGCTTAGTGCTTCAACTCCTCATGTAGCAAATTATTTATTTTTAAATAGCAATGGCTAAAATCTGAAGATGAGTGGATATTAAAATGTTAGTATCTGCATCTGATTAGATAGCAAAATTATGTTCTCAGTTTCCAAATTGGACTCAAAATACTATATAGATGTGTGTCTCTCAAACTTGAGTGGAATTCTTTACTTTATTACTTCAAAAAACTTAGTAAAACAAGGAGTAGCATGTATTATAATTCAGCTTAAAAGAAAGGAAAGTATTTCCTTTCCATGTTAGGCATCTACAGCAAGGGAGAAGGCATTGGAAATTAAGGGGTAGATTTGGATTTAACAGTAAAGGGTTTTCCAGATGCAATATCAGCCTAAGAAAACTGTGCCATAATTGGTTTTTTGACCATCTCATGAAGCAGTTAAAAAAAAAAAGAAAGAAAAACAAAAAACAAAAACAAAACAAAAAAAAACCACAAAACAAAACAAAACAAAAAAAAAAACAAAAAAACAAAAAAACAAAACCAAAAACAACCAACCAAACAAGAACCCTGGAAAATAAGACAAATGATGAGGAAAAACTGATATGGTGGGACACAGGGCAGAAATAAGTAAGCCAGAGATGGGGACTGTTTCTGTTGTTATTGCTGCCAACCTCCCACGCATCAAACCAGTGCAGCTGATCCTGGTTACAAATTCATGTGTCACAGAGGTGTTAATGCCTGCTCAGTTTTCCCCCTAAGCTTAAAAAATACTATTAAAATACTTCTTAAGATCTTAATTAGGTACCTTTTAGATACACATTTTCAGGGTCATAATAAGGAAAATAAAGGAGATTGTACTAGGTGCAAGAGAATTTCAGTCTCTAATGTCTTCCATAACAAAAACTCTCTTCTCACAAAAACTTTGGATTAAATTGTTGAGTCCTTAATGCAGATGACAGCCTAAAGAATAATGTTGATTTGTGGTTGCTGGAGAGTAAACTTATTAAACCTCATTGAATATTTCATCTGATGAACTGAAATGCCATGTTTCTGCTCAAATATGAATTTAAGTCTGAAAGTGTTCCTCTCTTATATTTTTGTTTGCAAGCAACACATCAACAAGCTAGATTTTTCATGTTGTAGAATGTGATGTTTATTCTGATACAAAGCCAGACATACTCCTGGGGCATTTCTGGATGGATCTCACATGTTAGTCAAAGAGTGGTTAGAGTGCTTGCACAGCTTCACATTGTTGAAAGTGAAAATATAAAAAAAAAATATAAATAAAGAAGTTATCTTATTTTGCACAGATTACTCTAGATTTTTCTCCTTCCTTTTCACCCTATATTTCAGGCATTGGTTCCTGCACAGTAAATCCAAGCAGTAAAAACCAGCTCAAATCTCCTTGTATACATGGAGCTCCTGGAAGATGCACTCTTGCCCTACACTGTGAGACCTTGAAATGATCCCCCTTTGTTGCATTTCTCTGTAGCTGTATTTGAAGTGCTTCAGAGTTAGAGCATACAGTTTGCTTTCCAGAATCCATAGTGAAGGATCTTTACTGAAAATTAGTGTTATACTGGTCCAAAAGAGAGATCAGAATCTGCACAAGGTAACAGACTTTTAAGGAATGGGAGGATGTGAAGGGATGTGAAACAACAGAAAGAAGTTGGATTGAAAAGGACAAGGATCACAGCAACATAGCTTTGCATTTATTTAGCAAAGGCTTCCACATAGCACAATGAAGCTGTGTGTGTGGACACAAAAGCAAACATATGAAACTATCAAAAAATAGATTATTCTGCTGAATATTTACGTGGTATTCTGTGCCTGATTGAAGATGCACAAGTCACCTGGGAGGGGTACATGTGCCTGTGTGTGTATAAATATAGATACATATATATATATGTATATATATATATATACACTACTACATATATATGTACCCACACAATATATACCCCATTTATTTCCAAATAAGCAGATTTTGCCTCATTCTTGATTAATTTCTGTTATTTTTTTCATTTTAGTATTCTGTCAGGTACTTTGAATTTTTTCTTCCTAATAAAGAAAGACTAGAAAGGTATTTGTGATAGATATGGTGCAGTCCAGCAGTTGAAGTTCATTAATAATTGGAATGTTGCAGAGTATGAAGTAATGAATACTAATTACTCCTTTCATGTCTGACAGCACCCCATGGACCAATACATCAGCCCAGACTTTAATTTGGTTCTAGTAATGGTTTCATCAATAGTACATTAATTCTGTGTTTGAAAAGATGTACAGTTGAACCTGACCCACAGAGTAGATACCACTGTCATAAAATGGCCACATACTGACAACAACTGGATAATTACAAATAATTAAATCCACTGAGCTTCAGACAATCCTAATTTTAAGTAAAATATATCTTATAATATCAATCGACAGAAAGCATAGCTAAGGAGATTTATCAACTTGTATTCCTTGCAAAGCAAATTTACTAGCCTGTTTATTAGAGAACTTGCTGATCTGTGAACCACATCAGAAGAGTACCTCTCCTCTTCCTTCTTTGCAAGAAGGTTCTCATGTTGCACTCCTGGATATTCTGCAACAGCAGCTCTTGGTTTCTGAATGAAGCCTGCAAAAGAAATTCTCAGCCTTGGAGAACTTCAAATGAATAAATTTATATTTTCCTCAAAACCAGATCACAATAGGGTGAACTAAAGGTACTTGTTATCTCTGAAAAGCAGACTTCATGCTTAAGTGCCTTAGTACATATTTAGAAGCCTAACAAATTTTGGGTGTTCATATTTGGATACATCTTTATTTTCAATTTTGGAACTGCAAAACTGCTCAGTTGTTTCTAATGAGCTTTAGACTTTGCCTGTATGTTCAAAATTGCTTCAAAAAGCTCAGATTTTTGTTAAAATATTTCAAGATATTTGCTTTGAGAAGGAGGAGAAAAGGAAAAAAATAATAAAACAATTTAAGAAAATACCAGTTGTAGTACATAGCTTTATGTAAGCAGGACAGCCACAAGACAAAAAATCAGTAAAATTTGGGTGCAACAAATTAGCAATGTATGCAAAAATTATTCAAGATGCAAATACTTAGATTTTTTTTGAGCAGATAAACCAAGGCATAAAAGTAAACAGGTATCAACTCTATGTGGTGTTGGGTTTTGGCCTTCACCTGCTATAAAAGAAACTGTGCATTGAATAGGTTTGGTATGGATGGCCATTAATATTTGAATTTTTACCTGTGTGTGTCCTATCCTGCTTCCCCAGCATGTCTCTTTTGGAAATCACTGTCTAGGAGCATTACCTATAGCAGATCAATGTTATTTTGGCTCATAGGAGAGAAGACAGAGGAATAAATTCATTGTTCATAAGGCTCCTCTTTGCATTTGCACGAGGTGTTACCCTTGCTGAACTCCTTTGCACAGTCACAAAGAGGTAGTCATGTCTCTTCAGCTGCAAGATTAGGTTATTAAGAGTTTTTTTAAGCTGTCTTGAAGTTTGATTTATGTGCAAATATAGCTTGTATGAACAAGTTTCCATTCTTATGAGGCATGACTATTATTCATGAAACAGCAAGAAAATTCGCTCCGTTTCTCCACAGGGAGAAGCTTTCCTTGCCTTGAACAATCTTGTCAGCTGTGCAGCTTCAAGGCAGTGCTTTTCCCACTGAACTAGTTTGGCCAACTTGCACAGTTTGCCTACTGAGATTGCCTGGTAACAGCTCTGTTCTGCACTTGTTTTCACCTGATTTATTCAGCTTCGTTCTCTGCATTACTTGTTGGGGTTTGCAAGTCAGTTCCAGAAGCTTTTAATTTTAAGCAGCAGGAGCTGAATGAAAGCTTCTCTGGAAAATGTGTTTATCCCTTTTTCTTCCCACTGAAAAATATTGTTTCCCTGTACTTTCCTGTCCAAAAATTTATCACTTATTTCATTTTTGCTGAGCTGATCCAAAACATCTCGCTACAGGAAGCTATCCCACCATTCTGCCATGTAGAGTTATGGTCTATTTTGGAGAACATCTGCCCTGAAAGGGCAAAAAAAATGCTTTAATTTTGTGTTGCATTAAAGTGTCCCATAAGAAAAGATGTTGCATAAACTCTCAAGCCATTTCATTATATGAAGTCATGTTCCTGTATTCAAAATTTCTCACCTTCATGAGTTCCTCTCTTTGAAAGACCTAGGCATTGTTACCTAAGGCAGAACATACACAAGGGAATAGCAGATCTTTGTGTCAATCAGACAGATTGACAGATCAGACAAGATGTTACACACATCCCAGTCTTCTCATAGCTGAGTGCTTACATTACCTCCTGGAATTTATTTGGTTTTGTATTTGCTTTGGCTAAATATAGTTTACAGTCAAGGCATATACAGGTTTTTTAAAGCTTTTTAAATCCTTTTTGAATCCCTTAATCTCCTTTATTTCAAAATCTATGAGGATTTCGACAGGAAAAAAAAAAAAAAACCCTAGTGGGGAACAATCTCATTTTAATTTACTTTGTTCTTAAATATCAGGGAGCTGGGACTTGCATGAAAGATGCTGTGTCTGTTTCTGGATAGAGTGGTGCTTTAGTTCCATCTGTTCTATCTGCTGCAGGTGAGGGAATAGGACATTATGAAGAAAACATTGCCAAAAATAGAACTTGTCTTTAGAAATTTCTTTGGTGACTATTTTTTTTATATTCCTTCTATCATGGACTTCCATTATTCATGCCTATTTTGCTGCATTTCTTCATAATCCAGAATTAAACTCTAAACATTTTACTGAAAAAAAATTAAGTCATCCTACTGGGTTCCCCACCTCTCTGTTTATCGTTGTTGCTTATACTCTTGAACAGTGCAAGAGCAATAACAAAACATTTCTTTTTCCCAAATCTGTAATTAACAGAAAACCTACAACAGCTGCAGTAATAAAACCCACCAAGTCATTATGTAGGTTTTGCCTTTCATAGGTGATAATCACTGAAATTGGTTATTTATTGCTTCTGTGAAGTGAGAACTCCTAAAGGAAATGTTTTAATCCAGAACTCTAAAACTTGTTATATTTCCTCATAGATGTTCTGAAACATAGCGTGACTCCCTTAGCAAAGGTTTTTATTCTGATAAAGCAAACTGAAGAATGTGTCTTTTGTAAGATCTCTTGTTTCATCAGTGTGTGTGTGTGTCTTGAAAGCAAAGCAAAATTGTGTTCTCCATGTCAATCTCTACAGTTTTGTTCCCTCCAGCTGCAGTCAGTTTTGAAGGCTGTGGAGAGACTGTGTTGCAGAACTGGACAGTGAATACACATCCACCTGAGAGAGGCTGTATAATCTGAAGGTCATATGGCTGAATTATTGCAGTATTATATGAGCACAAGCCTGGAAAACCCATCTCTAGCAGTTTGCATGGCAGTATTGTACAATATACGTGTCTGATGTTGAGTTTTGTAGAATCATGGGTTTCCCAGCACTAGACATAGTAGTTTCCTTAAGGAATTTGCTTAAAATATATCATAAGCAGCTCTCTTTTCTTCCTTCTCCCTGGTGAAATGCAGAAGGGTCTCAGCACACCATTATGTTTAGCCTATGTTTTGTAGCTAAGGGCATGTCAGAAGTAGGCAAGGAAGGGTGAAATCTGTGTTCCTGGCTCTGGAAATGCCCTGTGATAGCCTAGAAACAAAGCAATGTTAAAATTTCTACAGAAAGTACTTGCTTTATTCATGTCCTGATGTGACTTTCATAAATTGCATTTTAAGTGTTTAGTGTCTATGTTAATGCAATCACTTTGAAAATTGAGTTAGCAAATGCCAATTTGAATTTTATTAAGAGTTCATGTTATAAATGTTCCATGTTATAAATGTTCCATTGGTCCTTTTTTAAACAGAGTTTTATTACTAATATTTGAATCTCCTTTCTTGGCAGAGAACATTCAAAACCATTGCTGTACAGAAAATACTGGTTTTAGGCTTGTGTGGCAAGCAAATCCTGAAAATTGACACACTGTTCACTGGGCAAGTCAATGACAAAGAGTTGCGTCACTGGGTCACACCAGACTAGACACATGGCACACACTGTAGTCTACAAGTTATTTTCAATTTTTTTTTTGTGCTATGCCACAGAAATAGAAAGGTGAACTTCATGTTGCCTCCCTGCTGGGCCTCAAAGTGGCACAGAGTATAGGACAGTGATCCCTTATCACTGAAGATAAGGGATCAGGAAATTACAGCTCTTCAGTAATGAATTTCAGTAAATAAAAGGTGAACCTAGGATAACTCATTCTTTCATCCAACAAATAATTAATTTGGAATGAAATATTTAATAAATTACCTTAAAAATCTTTATTTTTGTTGTTTCAGTTGCTAGCCATTTCCTCTACTCTAGTCTATCCATTTGTAATAAATACACGTCCCTGCTTAGTGTTTTAGGCTATATATTTAAGGAAATTATAGTAAAACTAACAACTATTTCATTGGCATTTGTTTGAAAATTTTCCTAAGTTTCTGGTAAGCTATGATGATAGACATTTATGCCTAAGCCACAGACTCTTCAGTACAGCAGTGAATAATCTCCCTGTGTCTGCTGTATATACAAATGAAACTACAAAAATTAAGAAATACTCTGTGTATTTGTCTTATACTTTTGGTCTGTTCAATCATCCTCATTTTGTTTCTTAAGTTGCAGGCACATAAAGTTTGGCTTGTGTGCATTTGCTATGCTGCTACGATCATGCAGTACACATTGTTTGCAATCTGAGATACCTATGAGGTTTTAATTTAGTGAGATCCCCATTCTTCTGCCTTTTATTCTTTCCCAGACGCACCAAGATTGAAGACAAAAAATGTGAATTCAAAAAGAATTTTCATCTCATCCTTCACACTAAACTGGCTAACCCTCACTTACAAGCCACAACTGCGGGCTCAGACCACGTTCATTAATTTCACTGCCAGCAGGGACAGGCTGGAAGACCAGCTGTTGGCGGAGGTTGTTAATGCAAGACTCACAAAAAACATAAGGTAAGGGCTATATTTTGATTTGTCTCTTGCCTGCTCTGTTCTTTAAGTCGAGAATTAATATGTCTGTTTGAATCCACTGTACTGTAAATGTTAGAAGCCCATATTAGAAAGATTTTAGGAGTCTGGAAAGTGTAGAAGGTTCTTTCACTGATTCGTTCAAATCTGCGCTCCCAAAGGGCTTGTCTTGACCTAAAGCTCTGCTAGAAATTAAATTCATTGTGATATTATTCCCACACTTCTCTCTACTGCTTGGTTTGCTCTGTGCATTGCATTTAATTTACAGAGGAGGTTTAAAGCCCTCTGCAGTGCTTTGTGCTTCAGTGATCTTGAGCCAATAAGTGTAAATAAAATTCCATGCCAGTCTGTACAAGGATATAATGGCACTGTTAGGAGCTAGGGCATTTGGTTAATAAATCACAATTTATTCCTGCAGGGATGCAGTTCAGTGGCTGCTGCAGTCATACCAATGTATAGCATGAGGAGAAATGCTTTTATGTGGCTAGAGGAAGGACTTTGGACAGGATGTAATCTATGAGATAAAACATGAAAAGAAAGTACTTAGGGGTGTGAAATTAATAGCAAGAATACCTCCTACTTCTCTAGTGTGTCTTTCCAGTTATCTCATGTAAGTAACTAACTTTGTCCACAAAGATTTGCTCCACCTGTTTGAGGTACTCCTGCTTCATGCAAGGGCAAACTGGGTCAGGGAGTTTAATCACCCTTTGAAGAATGAAAGCCATATACTTGGGAATGAGATCTGAAAACAGCTGTCCATTTACCTCTGCATCTGCACATTGTTCCACCTGGGACTGCATGCTTACAAGGCCTGTGTCACCCAGGGTTTTGGTGTGAGTCAGAGTCTGGCTGAGAGCTCCCCACAAGACTAGTCAAGCTCTTGCACAGTCAGAAGGTCAGTCCAGCAGAGCAGACTATGACAATATTTTCCCACTCTGCTGCCAAAGTGAGGTTCTTCAGCCTTGTGCTATTCTCTGGTTTTCTTAGCTGCCACATAGATTACAAGTTGCCCTCCCTGGCAAGATCACAGTCCTTTTGTGTAGCGTCAGGAGGAAGGGCAATAGGAGAGGGATAAAGTTCTGGTGCATGACGACCTAAACATTCTCACTTTGGGTGTGCAGAACTTCAGATCTAGTACACTGGGACAGAAAGCAAACTGGCCTTTCAGGAATTAAATCAAATCAACTGATGTAATTAAACAGAAAATAAAACTCAAAACTCTAAAGAACATTATTTCTTGCTGTGGTTGTTTAAACACAGTGTTTTTATTTGCTCTGCTAGTCAGTCCTCACCAAGAAGCCAGAAGGGTTTCATGACTGAGCTTAGGGAGCTGGAGGATGACATGCTGCTCAGCCTGTCAGCTGCCCAGGGCAGTCTCCTAGACCACAGTGAACTTATAAAGAAAATCAAATCAGCAAAGTCAACTGCAGCAGAAATACAACACAAGGCAGTAACAATTGAACTGTTTCTAACAACTTAAAGTCACCTGTAAAATGTCTCTTCTTATTATTCTATTAATATTATTTTAAGTGTAGCATTTCTATGAGCTAGAATAGGAATAGTCAAATTGCTGCTTTTCCAGAAAGGGCTGTCCTCCCCATATTCATATTTTCATATCTATAATATGTAGTTGTCACATGTTTGACTTTTATTTTTTAGGTGTTTGAATTAGTACTCACAAAATTAATAAATACCAACATGAAATTTCAACAAATGTATTAATATATGATTGCCATGTTTTCCCAGGTAAACAGGCATATTTCTGCAGAGGACAGTTATTCCCTAATGCTTCTCTAAGATAAGAACTTTACCTACTTCAAATATTTGCTACTGCCTGAAATAAAGTCAGTTTTCTAGAGTATATCCATATTCTTTTCCGTATGGATAGGAATATTTTGGTAATTGTGCAGGATAATTATGAGACATTAAAAATAAACAGGACAGCTGTCACCATTCAGGTAGCTGAAGGCAAAGAAAATAAAGCTCAGGGTGACAGGACAAGAGAGCATTACAGACTGACAGCTGGAAGAGCATCCGCCCCTTACTCCGGGAGTGTCAGCCTGGGCAGCGTCAACCCCATCTACCAGCTCCCATTGAAGGTAAAAATGTCTCTCAATTTCTTTTTTTTTCAAAGTGCAAGAAACAGAATTCTGCCTCCAGCAGTGATGCCTGATACATTAGTTATTGCTTGTACCAGATGTTTACATTGGCAGGGCTGCGTGTCGGAGGGAAGAGAACACGATGTGATCTCCTGCTGGTCTGTACCACAGTGAGTCCCCATGGGTCTCTTTGTTGGCTGCCTCCATTCTGACAGTGCTTTCTGGCTGTGCTTGCAAAAGTTTACCTTCCTTCTGTTAAGCCATCCCACAGGGCCAGGAAGGAAGACTTTGGAGGAATTCTGTGTAAACAATTCCCCGTTGTAAACCTACCAAGTGATCAAATGCAGTGAGTAAGGGAGATCACCCACTCTCAAATTACCAGCTTGTTCAAGTGAGAGAGTCTCCATGCTGAGATAAATAAGGAAGCAGGAGAGTATTGCTGTTTGCAGCCCTCACCCCTGGTTTGCTGAAAATTTCCTTTAAAAGCCTCTTTTCAGCCTCTTGCATTTTACACTGCTTGGGTCAACTCTTTATAGGAGCCTACAGTAGGAAACCAATTATCTTATGGGTAGTAAAGCAAAAAAAGCAAAATTCAAATAGATAAAAATAATCATACTAACTCTCAGGCCTTCAATGCATCTTCCACAAAGCAATAAAACAAGTTGAAAAATCAAGAGATATTCAGTGTTGTATCTCTAACCTAAAAGAAGCTGTCACATATTGGACCTTTCTTTTCACAAGCCAAGGATTTTTGAAAATTATAAGCTCATTTTCCTGGCCCAAATGGCTTTTCAGGTGAGGAGAAATTTTCATATTGGTGATGATGACATTAACTGGATTTACTGTTTCTCCTCTGGAAGCTCATGACTGTGCCCAAACCCTGTGGTTGTGTAGTTTCTTATACAGAGTGACTGCTACTTCAGTATCAACAAAAATTGCAGAAGTTCCAGAGATGCTATAATGTAATTATTTTCATTTAAATGCTGCAATATCTTCATAAAGCTAGGTTCAGGATAAATAGCATGACTTAGCTGCTTGCATTTTGATAATTAGGGTTGAAATTGATCTGCTATATAAGTAAGAAGTAAATAACACATATCCAAATAACATTCAAGCCATTGCTTTTCCTTTTTCTTTTAGTAACTGTATGCCCTAGAAAAAGTCAGGGCTCAGGTGTACTGGACTGGGAGTCAGAGGTGTCTCTGAAGCAACTCTGATGACCTTTTTCAATTTTGTGTGCTGTCATGGTTCTTCTAAGTAGTAAAGAGATAGGACTCCTTGAACTGCATTTCCTTTTTCAGTTCAGAGTTGAACACAAAAGAATCCTGTTGACATTTTAACTACACAGCCATGGTGTATCATTAGAGTAGTTTGGGAAAATTGCTTTTGAGTTCTATATCTTTTCTGTTATTATTTCTGGACACGTGCCTCACCTAAACACTTTCAGATAAAGTCATGCATTCTCTCATAATTTTTTTAGTAGCAATAGTGGTGTTTTCAAAATGGAGTTTTCTTCACTATTTGAGTGCCTTTTCCCTTAAACATCTATACTGTATCTTGTGAGGAAATTCTGTTCTACCATGATTTGTCCACTCCCCTAAAACTAGAATTTTAACTCCCTGCCACTCCTTACTTTAGTAAATGTCCCATAGAGGGTTTCCAGTTTGTCGTATCTAGATGTTTAACAGTAAGCAGACAATGGCAATACCAACCAAAGTAAACTCTTACCAAACTCTTACTATTTTTATATATGCGTGGTTGTGCATATATATTTAGTGTTTTATTTATGTAATTGTGTATTATTTATGTAATTTAGTATTTTAAGGCAAGTCCTGAGTTCCTTGGTTGCACTAGGGGTTTTTACATACTCAAAAATTATCAGTGTGATCCTGTTTCAGTCATCATGCAAAAGGTACAACATCTGTATTTGGCATGCTTCCAGGCTATGGCAGTGATGGATGTGTTCAGAGGGGTAGATAAAGATATTTAAAGATCCACCAAGAAATGGAAGAAGTGAGTGGACTCGACATATCCAGAAAAGGAGAAAAAAAGCTCTTTTCAGAAACTAGTTATACTGTCCAGGACAGAATGTTGTATTGCTCTGAGGTAGGAAATCTGAGGGTTCATTTTTAAGGGCAAGTGTGTGTGAAAGTAATGCCTTGCATGACAAATTCAGATCTTGAGAAGCAAGTAAATAGCTTCTAGAACTGGGTGGTCAACCAGAATTTGAGATCCATTACTGTGTTCCTTCACAGCCTGTTCTCCTGATGAAAAGTTTATGAAAAGGTAGTGTGGTAAAACACGAGTCACAGCATATTTGGAGAGCTGTGATTCTGCTTTCTTTTAGATTGAATATAGATGCTTGAGGAGAACAGTCATTGATAAACAGACATACAGTAAGCTATCCTCTTAACAACTATAATTGTATTTTTCAGTGTTAGTTCTCATTATGATATTACAGCTGGTAGATAACCCCACAGGATGACCATTTTTCAGGGTCTCCCTTTTGAAAGTTGTATGATACCAAGAAGGACTCTGTATGTCTTCAGCTGTGAATACTGACACATTTGTTTTCCAGTTGTGCTGGTTTTGTCTTTCAGTCCCAAGTGATGGTCCTATGGGCCTGTTGCTCCACATCCCACAGTCACCATTTTTACATGACTTCTGAGAAGGCAAGCTTAGTCTTAGGTATTTATTTTGCCCAACTGCCCCAGTTTATGTGACAGTATTGCTTGCATGTAATGAGGTCCTTTTTATTCAGAAGTTTCTCTCTTTTGTCATATGGTCACTATCCTGCAGGGAAATGGGAAAAATCATCTTCTCTCTTGCTTCCCCACCTGCTTCCTTTCTTGTCTTCAGTTCTCTCTCCTGATGATTTCTCTGATGAAATGACCATCAGTCTCAGATACACTCAAGTCTGAGAATGGTGCAGACCTGAAGTACTTATCAAGGCACACCTTTTGTGTTAGCAGATGTTTTGTCATGTATAGGAATTGTGTGGAGAAAAATCTTGTTTCAAGGTACACGAAAAGCACAATGACGGAATTAGCAAAATGCTAAGAAGAGAGCAGTCCAGCCACTCCTGTGTTTTTCATCCTATCTTCAGGACTAAGCCCACTTGAAGATCATGAGACCCTACATAAGCCTCTTATTTGCTTCTGGTTCAAGGACCACTTAACTGTCTCCCATTAAAGAAAGAACAATTGAGCTCGAAAGTGAAATGGGGGCATGCAGGGCTATAAATGTGTATAAACTGGTGTATGGTTATATGCTTGTGTGTATGTGCTTATAGAGTGTATGTGCTTATAGAATGTATGTGTAGTTATATTTTCTTTACTGAACAGAACAAAGCCTTCTGGATTCATCTGTCACTGGGATGGGATATGCATTACTGTAGGGAAATTTGGCACAGTTTGTTTTCAGCAGAAGATTCAAGTTCCAAAGTTTTTTCCACCCCCAACATATTCATGGGAATGGGGAGGATGAAAAGTGTAAGGCCATAAGCACTACGGTATGAAGAAATTTTTAGAGCATTCCTCTGCTTGGCATAATGCAGGTTTCCTTTGTACTGTTTTCTACCTTTTGACTAGATGAGGGCCAGAGGGCAATTTTCTCCATGCTCATGTAATCTTGTGCCCCCTGTGACTAAATAATGGTCATTATACAAACTATATTCAATTGTATAGGGCTCTGTGGCTTTATACGTAGGATTACTATTCCCCACAGACAATAGTGAGAATACCAGGTTAATACAGCTGTGACCTCACTGTGCTCAATTTAAGCTCAGGCCCCACAAGGTGAGAGGCTTGTGCATTTACCCACTGAACCAATCAGTTAAAAAACTGATGTGATATCTACCACATGTTGCTCCCTTTTTCATGAGGGAATTGCTCTGTACCCCCCATAAGAGTTTCTAAAGCTCAGTAACAATGCTGAGCATCTATCAAAATGTCAAAAGGTTCATTATCTTAAAACCAAGGGAACAGATTTCTGCAGGCTTTTTCTAATACCAGCAATAAGGCCACTGTTGAGAGCTTGCAATTTTGCTTGTTGAAATTGTAAGGGTTTAGTGAAGTGCTTCAGAGGAAGTAATATGCATTGCACAAGTGATAGTGAAATTAATGGGGGCATTATCATTCTTTTTCCTTTCTGCTCTGCTAATTTTCCCATCTCCTCCCCCTCTATCACTCACCCTTCCCCAATTATTTCTATTGCAGGCAAGAAGCTTGGGTTCACTATAGAGGATTTGGAAGATTTCATAACATGTCTCTAGGACAAAAGCAGGAGATGGTTGCAAAGGAGGCATTCAAGAAAGCTGCCCCACATGGCCATTGGGTTCTTTTCCAAGTGAGTGTCAAACTGCCTTTCTCCTGGGGAATACCTCCTCAACTGGGGAGATGTTCCCAGAACACAAAATACACAGTGGATTACATCAAAAGTTCTAAACAATAATAGTTCTAAGCAAATAATCTTGTTCTGTTTGCTTTTGCTTTTGGTTGTAACAGGATAAACATCGTATTAACAGGGTTTATGTCACTCTTTGCTGAACAGTGCACTCTCCCAGGAGGAGCAGGAGAGATAACACAGAAGGCCCTGGTGGGTGGGTAGGCCTGCCCTCAGGCACACCCTTCCCCCACCTAATTAAGAGCTCCTATTCCATTTAGCCAGCCACATTGGAGACTTTAATGAAATGGTTCTGGCTGTCCCTGGGGAAGCTGTAATAATTAGTCCTGGAGTGCTGCTTTTCTGAGATAGCAGCCACGGCTTTGGCCAGCTTTGTATGGACCAAGAACCCGCTCTGCTGTGGACAAAGAGATCCGTGGGATGCCCTGGCAAGCCGTGGTTTCCCAGCACAGTAACAGAGTGAACAGGAGCACAGCAACCATAAATGCCACTGAAAAAAGATGCTCCCTCCCCAGTGTTTTGTGCTCAATAGCCAATGTTTGTATGTGACAAACTGTCAGCCCTGAAGCCAAATGAAAGTGCATGTTCCAGGCCTTGACATTAAGGTGGTTATGGGAATGGGATGGCTCTCTCCTCTCCTGGTTTAACCTCAGCAGCCTGCTTTGTCTGCCAGCCAGGTTGCCTGCCACAAATGAAGAGATGGGTTAAAGTCAGTGTTTTCTGCCAGATGAAACAAAACCACCATGGGTTTAATGAGGGGCCCTGGTGTGCTAGGCACTGTGGGAGCATGCGCAAACTGCCCCCTTCGTCAGCAATGAAATTGGAAGTGTGCTTAACCATATTTCATGTAAGTGAGCTAATCATGCCAGCCTGAAAACAACCCTGCATAGAAATGTTGTGAAGGGAAGAGTCAAGTTGGTTTTCAGGGAATGTCAGGTTTCACAGCTGCTCTGGGGGCAGTGTTGTGCCTGAAGCTTCAGGGAAGGATGGGGAATTTCTGAGGAGCTTCTGTTGTTACAGACCTGCTCCATTTTCCAGCCTGTTATGCCTGGCTCTTGAGGGAGGAGAGAGGCAACAATTTTGTTGTAAAGGTTTTTGATAGTGAAGGATTTTGGGAAGTCTGAAAGGAAACTTCATGAAGATGTTGGGCCAAATCCCAGATGGCTCTAAGCTAGCTAGAGCTAGTGGGATTTGGACGCACTCAGTGTTTCTCAAGATTTAGTCTTCTGCATTTGGGCCCAAAACCCTGTAAGCTTATATTTCAAAAAAATTTTGGAGCAAAAAGATGAAGTATTTTACTATGGATTTTATTGGAGGCTAGAGAGTACATAATTAAATATTAAAAAGAAAAAAGCAAACCAACGTACACCTGTGATTCTGACTGACCTGGGAAATACTTTAAAAATTACTTTGGCTTCAGATCTTGCAAAGGCAGTTGGCACAGTGGTTGGCAAACTGGCAGAAGAAAGACTGACTTCAGGTTTTTGTGTCAGATTGCACTCTTCCGTCGCTCATAGTTAATATCTCAAATTCAGATATCTGATACATTGAATGTTTATTTTGTTATTATATTAAGGCTTTAATCACTTCCACTTTGCATTCAATGGATGCAGCCTATATGACAATTCAGGCGCTGCCAGAATGCAATCATGTCATGTGATATGAAAGTCTCCCTCTCTTTCCATTCCTCTATTCCTTTTTCCATGTGGTGAGGGACAGTTTGGGAATATTCCCCCAGCAGACCTCATAATAAAGTGATGCAGCAGTTAGGGTGTGAGTGACATTTGTGTATTCTTTGGGTGTAATTCCTCCTGCACTGCATGGAGATTGCCAGCACAATTAGGAGGTTCTGGCACATCACTGAAGGGCCTAAGAAAAGCTCGTGGATGAGCTGCAATTTGAGTTGAAATGTTAGTGCTGTAACAAAGAAATGTGGAGTGTGGGCTGACAGTGTGTTTAAAACATCTTTAGCCCTGCCACATTTTAAACTTTTCTCGATATTCCTGTTTTTCACCAGGAGGTGCTTTGGAGGCAGATACTTTTCCATTATAACGCTCTTCTCTGACCTATCAGTGTCTTTCCACTGTCTTCATATATTTAGAACTTTAAAGACAGCTACACTCTGAAGTAGTCTAAGACATATTTCCTAAGCAGCAGGATAGCTGGAACCATTTTTCTGTCTAGCACTACTGTCTTGCTCCTGGTATATCTTGAAAATGTTTTGTCCTAGGCCCCAGTTCTACAGAGAATTAATGAGAGTCCAGATGTCTTCTGAGCTATGCTTTTCTTTGTATGTGATAACACCCACAACCACAGATCACTTAACCCTGAGTTTATAATATTTTCATTAGCTTCAGAATCAAATTTTAGAAGCTAATGGTGAAACCTCGATACATACCAAGAAATGACAATGACTTAACTGTTACCCCATTAAGAAGTCACAATGACAATGCCTTAAGGAAAACAAATTTATTTGGTTTTGTAAAATAACCATATTGGCTGTTTTTCAATGGAATATTCATCTAAGTAGCTGAGTGGTTCAAAACCTTGGACAAACTCCTTGAGCAATACATTATGTCATCCTGATTTCTGTGTCTTTATCAGCGCTAAGCCAGCTCCAACCACAGAAGAGCACGTAATTCCCCAAGGAATACTAGAAATTCAATTAAAATTACCCCCTACAAGGATGCTGGCTAATTTCCATGCTGCGCTCTATGGTTTTGACCAGGTAAAAGTAAACTAAATTTTTCCCTTTTGTTTGCTTTAATTACTCCTTCCCCTGTGGGGTCAAGTGGTAGCATTGATGACCATTCTGTGGGAGGCCAGGACTTGGGACTGCTGTGATTCCAAACTAACCCAACAGCTGCAGGGTGCCATCCCTCTGTGCCCTGCACCACCTCTGTGTTTCCCATAAGTGTTGGGCAGGAGGAAAGGTGTGGCACTAACACAAACATTTGTACTGTTCAATATAGACATGCACAGGTATGCATGCAAAGACAGAAAAAGCATTTATTGCACCAGCTTTAGCCAGTGGTGCACTTATGGGGAAAAAAAAAAAAAAACACAACAAAAAAAAAACACAAAAAAAACCCCAAAAAACCAAAAAAAACATGCATGCTCTAAAGCCAGAGCTCTTTCATTCAATGGTACTCACATATTTTGCTCTGCTCTAAATTTGCCTAAATGCATGGTCATGACCATTCTCCCACAGAGTGGATTTACAAACCTGGGTGTTCGGGAAATGGCTCAGTACCCTCTGTAGGGGTTCCTGCAGTCAGGCATAAAGAAAGGAATTAAAGAGTAAGGGTTATGTGCTGTTTGTTTTGTCTTTTGCTCCTTCCCAGTGTAAAGTTCTGCTTGATGGGTGGAAAGAAGAAGGAGGAGAAAGAGGACATGAGAATGTGGAGAACAGGCACGTCACAGGTAGTGTGCAGTCTCCTTCCCTCCAGATCCCTGGTTATCCCTGTGTGCTACCCCAGAAACTTGCAGAAAGATCCTCAAGCCCAGTGTGAGTCAGCTTCCCTGCAGCAGTGGCAATGCTGGAGCAGTCAGCTTGTTCTCATCAGCAAAGCAGACCATGATGAAGGCAGCCCTGACTGCACACTTTTGCCTTCCAGCAGGGTATTCTCATGGAGCTGCTGGAGCACAGCACACATGAGGGCAGAGCTGAGATGTGAAAAGGGTAAGAGCTCCTTTAGAGAGGAATACTAACCAATGGCAGGGAAAAATAAAAGAAAAAAAAAGAGAAAAAAAAAAAAGTTGGGTCAGAGCTACAAATGGATTGATTTTGATGGTGTGGGATGATTTGGAAAGATATTTGTGAGAAAGGAAGGATAACTGCTATTTTGTGGCTGAGCAGTTGACTATTAATAGAGCATTTTGTTCTTTTTTCAATTTTTTTATAACTTACTGTTATAATACTTTTAATGGAAAACTGAAAAATTTAGACTAAGTTTTAAATAAAGGTGGTTCATATACATTGTTGTCTTGTTTCAGTCTGTGTTTAGTGAAAGAATATATATGTATATATTTGAATTAACCAATTTCTAAGCTTTATACTTTAGAGAACTTTCTTTTCTCACCCACTATTCTGAGCCATAGGTGTTTGTGGCTTACCATAAATTCCTGTCCAGACACTGTCTTTACTATATTTCTGGTTAAGGTGTTTTTTGTTTTTAATTACAATAAAAAATCAAAGAATGCCTAATCCAGATGGAATATATTTCATGGGTTTGTGGTTTTATTCGGGGTAGAAACTTGTGTTGTATTTTTTCATGGTTGAACTCAGCATTCTGATTTAAGGAGATTTTTTTGTCAGACATAAAATCCTTCACCTTTGCCCAGATTCTGCTACATGTTGTTCAGCTCAGGATGATCTATTTCCTTTTGAAAGACAAGAGTTGATCCCTCTGATGTACCCTCCACACATCGTTATTTTCAAGGGTAACAAAATTAATTTTATGTTCATTACTTCTTAAACTAAAGGATAAAATATAGAAAAATGTCAGAGACATAAGGATTAATTTCTGCCGGTTTTAACAGCAAATGCCAAATAACTTAAAAACCAGATGAATCCCTGTGCTGAATATCATCTTGCTGAAATTCTCTATTAACACTATAAATATGGAGGCAAAATGAAAAATATTAAACTTCAACTTCAAACATGACTCTTTGATAAATGGTGTAAAATTTCAAGGAGTTGTAAGGCTTTTTGATAAATGTTAAACTAGTAAATTTTCTGCTTGGGATAAAGTCTGTGGATGACTTAGCTAAGAAGCTATAGTGGTTATCTGAGTAACATTTATAGACTTCTAGGTAAAGACTCTGTTTTTGCTGGTTTCAGTAGCAAACCAAACAGTTCTCCTTTCCTAAGGGACATTTGGGAACTAAAATGTCATTATCAAAAATTTTGCATCTGGGAATTACTGAAAAAAATACTGTCTAATAGCCTCTGATTCTTTAGAAACCTGTTTCTCACTCTGCTTCCAGCTCCAGCCTTGTGAGTGCTCCCTTTGGGCAGCCGGGGCTGGCACAACTCTCAGCAACACTCCCTGTTGCTAGTGCAGAAGTTACTCCCTTTGTCTCTGACAGGGGATCCTTGAACTGCATGCCAGAGAAGGGGAGTTTAAAAGCATCTGTTTTCCTCTGTGCAATTTTCACACTTCTGTTCCTGGGAGACTGAGGTTTGGCCCTCAGGGCTGGCATGGAAGGCTCCAGATCAGCACCCGAGAGCTCCATCTGCATTGCGTCCTCAGCAACTGCTCAGAGGCCCACAAGAAGGTAGGAAGTGGTCAGGTAACCACATTTCAAGGTAATTTCCACTCAATCACATATTTATACTGAATAAGGGGCATGCAGTTCTTTCCCTGAAGCTGTTATTTAAGTAGCTGGCATTATGTGATGCTGTTGGTGAGTATGAAAACAAACCATATCAAAGGGGGGTTGTGGGTTTTTTTTCTGGCAGTGGATGCTTGAACTTTGTAATATAGGTAAAACCAGTTCCACATCAGTAGCTAAGGGGAAAAAAATGCCCTTCATTATGTTAACAAAAACAGGGGTTTACATGTGCATATATGCCAAATTCATTAGGCAGGTAATGAAGCATTTGCACAAATGTAATTACAAACAGCAATTCTGACAGTTCATAACACTGCATTAATAATCACTACAATTAGTTCTGATGATGGAAGCAATTTACAGCACGTCACATGTATAAATAATGGTGCATTTCCTGAATGTGTCATTATTATGTATTAAGGATGCCACCTTGTTGTGACTTTCTCTGTAATGTTCCCCTTGAGTCAAAGTTAAGGATATGAGAGTGATTTTTTTTTCTGAGCTACAGAATATTTCAGACTTGCATAGTTTAAATACCGAGTTGAGGTCATTTGTGTAAGTTCTGTATGTGAAAATGTGAAATGTCTAAATAAAAGGCAGTAATTATTTGTTACTGAATGATATAGAATATTATTGAATAGATCCTCCTATTTGAGTAATTTAAATACATTTCAGAGATATTTATGAAGAAATAAAGGAGACAGAAATGTCTCCCCTTGATGATATGGTTTTCTCCATATCTCCCAGCTTGTATTTACTCTGAGAAATTAATTTTGTTTTTGTCTTCATACCCCTACTAGCCTTTATTTAGTTAGTAGGACATCAAGCTGTTTTTCCTTTTTGTGGTACTTGGTGTCATAGTGAAATAATTTCTTAATTTTATTATGATGGTTTAATAATGCTTCCCATTTAGAAAACAAGTCCATGAAATCAGCTTATTCCAACCCTTAGTTTTCTTTGCTAATAAATCTTGCTGCTTTAAGCTGTTCTTTTCAAACCACAATTCATAAGCTGGATAATTCATTTTGCTAATTAATGAGAGGGAGTATTCTGATGGCAGGGAATACCAGAAAGGTTTGTAAGAGCAAGAATTATTTCTCTCCTCTTGGTAATATTGCTTATTGGCCTTTCTCATTGTACTGCTTAGTGATTCATTACCCTGTGGTTTCATAAGGATTTTTTTTAATATGGATATTAGAGTGAGAAATAAGACAACAGGTTTTTTAAAATGTCAGTTCCTATGTATATATGCATGTCTATGACCTTGTGCATATATATATATATATATATATATATATATATATATATATATATATATAATATGTATATAATTTATTGTCCTTTGGGAAGAACTTCCTGAAGGCAATTAAGCACTGACCAGAAAGCATAAACTGGGCAACTCAAGCTACCTCATCAGCCAGTGGAAATTCCCATGACTCTGTTATAACTTCCACCAGTTTATAGTGTTTTCCTGAAAATATTTAGTCTTGTTTCTCAGTTTTTCCTGCTTCTAAGACAAACTCCAGCACAACAATCTGCAATAGATAAGGTCTCTTCATGTGAAATACAGAATGCCTTGTCCTGCCTCATTGTCCCACTCATGCCCTCCACCTTCTGATCCCCACACGTGTTCAAGGACTTGTCACTGGATGTTGTTGTGGGGGGAAGTGGATTCTGTCCTCCCCATTATCCACCCACCCAGCAATGGCTCTGGGGTTTTTTTGGGTACAACAGACCAGTTTTGTATAGAGTACAATGGCAATTATGTGAACCTGACAGCCCAAAATATTTCTAATGCAAACTCCACAGCTTTCTCACACTCACAAAAATGTCCCTTTTATATCACCAGCTTTGATTATCCCAGTATAATCAATGTCCCAGAAGTGTGCAGCTGAATGAGCTTGTACTGCATTAGAATATTGATATACTCTTCCAAAAGACAAAGGAAAAAGCAATTTCTTGAGATAAATATATATGAAATTAGAAAAACGTTAAATGAGTTTTTGTTGCCGACAAAGAGAAAAGCAGGTTTATTCTGGCTGCAAGAACGTTCCGTTCTAAACCCAAGTTGCTGGCATTTTTCACAGGGATTCTCTGTTCAGCCTTCTCATCACAAGCATGCAGCACTGCATATTATATTCTAGCGGCTTTTTTTTTAATTTTTTTTTTCATTTGTTCTTTGAACCAGTTTAAAATAAAGATGGATTAGCATTTCACATACTCAAATTGCTGCATACAAGTTTATGTAGCAAGCAGGCTGGAATAGCTGCAGCTATTTTACTTGTTCTGTTCTGTCACATCATGTAATATTTAAAGCCTATAATTAAGTTTTTACTCGAACTGTTGGGAGGCAAATACTGCCCCCAAGGGCGTAAAGGTTCCTGTCTGCAAAGGTTTCATCACAAACTGGCATATTTTGCAAACCAAAGGGGAGCAAAAAGAAGCTTCAAATGCTGTGAAGCCAAATAAAAGAGAAAGACAGTGGTTCCTTGAATTAAATGTTTTACTACCCTTAACCACATGCTTTCTCTGTGGCATTATGACTAGTATTCTACAATAAACTTAATGCTTATATGATGGTGCAGTAATGGGATTATTATTAATTCAATTTTTACCAAAGTTCTTGAATACTTCCCAATTTCAAATAATGTAGAATTTCAGTAACTAAATGTTCCCTAGCGAGGAGATATAAAAGACTGCAATCAGATACAAGTTTTTTATTTCTCCTCCAAGAAAGGCACAGTAGGTTACCTTCCTGTCACTCATGAGGATTATGTTTTTAAAGATCTGTATGGGAAAATACATGCATTTGTTCATGAAGTTATGTTCTCTCATATAATGTGGTGTTTTGAAAATGTGGTTTTCTCTAAAGTTTTTTTATAAGGGCTAAGGTGGGAAACAAAGCTTGGATAATGCATTTTACACCATTACTGAGTTTTAGTCACAAATTTTCTATTTTGCTCAGATACCTCTCATTGGATTGAAATAAAAGAAATCTAGTTTTAGTATTATTTGCTGAAAAACCTAAACCCAGCAATGGAAATGTATAACCATGAAGCTTTCTGAAAGGAAGTAGCTGGGCTTCTTTTATGTCTCCTAAGAACAGCTTTGGTTTGTCCTTTAAGCAGCTGACTTGTTTTATTCAGTGATGCATTCTGCTCCTCAGGTGGGTTCCACAGGAAAACTCCTTGGTGAGATCATGTAAGGTGGCCACATCACAGGTGCCTGGGACTGCAGGCTCTGCTGGATGTGTCTGCAAGAATTCCTCAGCCCAGTCCTGGTGAGAACCTTCATATGTAACCTAAAGCTCTGAAAACACAGTATGTTGTTTAACCTAAGGGAAAGAGAAGACCACGCACTTTCTCATCCATCCTGCAGCAAGGTCTTGTCTGGCTGTAAGCGAATCAATTTTGTTGATGATTTATCCTGAGCAGATTTTGGCTGAAAGGGTCTGTGAGATGTCCTACTGCTTGTCTACTTTTCTAAGTACAATTAATTAGGAACTTGAATTCAGTACTTTTTAACACTGCTTGTACAGTGAGCTTAATGACATTGGATACACTTAGGTCTCCATTTTCCTTGGAAAACTATTTTAAGGTGCTTCCATTTAGAAAGTTTTGGGTAGGCATGGGAAAGTATCTCTTATGGAACTGCACTTTAACCAATGTAACTGATAAACTCACCAGTTTCAGCAGTCCAGAATGGCACTATCCTCAGAATTTATTCTTTGCACATTTTCTTCCTCAAAAAAATAATGGAAATGTTGTACATTTCCTTGCATCTCACTCTTTCTAAAATACGAAAAAGAGCTTGTAAGACTGTTTCTAATTTTCCACTACCCTCACACACATCTGTGTCTGTAGCTTTGTCAGGTTATCACCAGCTGAATTATTCAAATTTCATTATTGAGTTTTCATCCTGGACAGCAGTGTATGTGGAACATCCATGACTCCAACGGGCCACATTGCCAAAGTTGCTTCTAATCAGCAGCAAATGCTGAAATTTTTGAGGCTACAAAAAGAAAATGTTGCTTTAAGTTTAGTTCTAAGAAGTTTTGCATGGAAACTGCCTTAATCTGTTTTCATATACACAAATAACAAAGGTGGATGTTTATACAGGGCTGTGTGTATATATGTACATACATATATAATCTAGATATATACTATATGTATTATAGAGTATGTACTTTTTAATATGTATATAAATATTTAAAAACCCTGCCTCCTCAGCTGCTGAGGAAGCCACTTTGGAAAACTGATTGTACACAATTTGCTGAAAACAGCCAAGAGATTTTTCAAGCGCCCTTTCCAGACTTGTTATTTTTCATTGTCCAAAGGTAAAAAAGCTCATTTATGAGGGGAAAAAAAAAATAAAAATTATCATGTTAGGTATGAACAGGCCATTTGTGGAGCCAGGCTGAGCTGGGTAAAGTGCCCCTTTCACCCCTGGCAGTGGGTTGAAGCCTGCCTTTTGGCTGTGAGCAAGAGGAGCAGGCTGGTGTCTCCTTGGTCCCGAAGAATCAGAATTTCATATGTCAAAGAGCTACACTCAGATGAAGGCAATTGGAAGTAACTGCTCAGAAGAAGATGCCCAAGAGTAAGTTGCCATGGAGATGGAAAGGCTAAACACTACTGTACTCCTGACCTCCAAAGAGGCTGATTTCTCCACATGACAGCTGAGGTCACAGGGGCATGGTGGGAAGCTCATCCTGCCGGCTCCAGCTCTGCCTCTAGCCTATGGATAAGTAAAGAATTACTGCTTTACTACTTTAGGTAGTCCATTAACCTTCAAAAGCCTGAACTTTCATTCAAATAATTGCAAAATAAGTATAGGTGGTGAAACCTGAACAGAATCACTGCTATTTGTATGCCCTTTGGAAAGTTTAGGGACCCAACCCTTAGTGTGGATCCACTGGTATTTTAAACAGTGAGGATTCTTTCTTAGTTTCTTGCTGTAATTGGAAGAAGTTAAAGCCCAGAATTACCAGCAAAACCAGAAAATCATTCAGTGACTAGCAGCCAAATGAATGGATGGTCCTTCACCAGCAGTGGGGCTTTGTATTCACTGAGGAGATTACCTTCTCTTTTTAACTTCTTGCTTTATGATGAGTTCTTTTCGCTACAAATTCATTCCACAGGGTCCATTAGAATAACCCACTGTGTATCAGCTTTGATAGACCTCACCTGGGAGCAGCCATAAAGACAGAAGGGCAGCAAGCTCCTGCTTCATACCCCAGTAACCCACAGCCTCCCTCTGTGCACATGACTCCCACAGATGAAGTAAAACCTGATTTAAGTGCCAGCAGAGAGAGACTGGTAAGTGCAGATTGTCTGACAGAATTGATCTTCCACTCGAGGTAAATAACAGGGCTTTTTTCAAAACCTCAGCACTACTTCAAAGTGGCATCTTAAGATACAGCTTATTGTGGGTGAGGTTAGTGGTGCAAGTTCAGGCACAGGTAAATGGCTGGTTGCAGAACCAAAATGACTTCAGAAATAAGTGCTTACTGGTGTTATTTTGAGCAGTAGCTTGTTGTAGACTGTTCTAAATGCCAGAAGCTGTTAAATGTTATTGTGATTTTGTGAAGTGGACCCTGCATTAGGAAGAAATAGCTTTTGTGAAAAGTACCACTTAGAGCTAGAAATATTTTTCAGCAAAAACAACTTCAAGCCTCTTTTAAATTGCAGGCAGCTCTATGACAATAAGTTCAGAGAAATTCTTTGAATTCAGTGAAGTTTTTACAGCACAGGAGATGGGGAAGTCTAAAAAACAAATTTGACAGCTACAGCTTTTATTCTTAATTTATATATTACTTTTTATTTCATTTAGCCCACTGAAAGTATATTTCACCCAAGTCCTGTCTACATAAATCTTGATCTGCTCCAAAGTGCCAAGTCTTATCTTAAATATCCTGACAGAGTTAGGGTCTTCCTGCTCTATAGGAACAGTGCAGTTATTAGTACTTGGCTCAATACTGAGCTGATTAAGATCTTAATTTTTAATCCTGTTAAAATTATCACCACTGTCTATCTCACTGAGGCCAAAGCAGCAGTACAAAACCCCATGCAACACTCCTGCACTTGGAGAGATAGAGTGGAGTAGCAAAATGGCATAAGAATCCTTGCTTGGCTGCTGAGGTGATGCAGACTTGCAGTACTTAAAATACACTTGCCTGAGTAGTGACATTAAAATAAATGCAAAGCATCCTCATGAAGTAAGAAGCAACCCCACAGAAAATGGAAGTGTCCAGAAATTATGCAAATAGTAACTATGCTGGGAATTCTTTGGTAACCCTGTTCCCTTGTATCAGAACATGCAGCTATCATGTCTACAAGCTTCAAATAAATTTCTGAAATTTTGTAGCTACAGGAGAATATTTCCTGGTGTCAGCATTACCAATAACATTATTGATTCTTTTCCTACAGCTTGAAAGGGAACTTGGCACCATGTTTCTTGGCCTCTCCAAATCTGGATTATGATGGATACCACAAATACATAGATGAAATGCTTCCATCTGAAAGCCCTGTACTATATGGACTGCACCCCTCTGCTGAGATGGGATTCTTGTCAACATCAGATAATCTCTTCAAAACTCCTTTAGAAAAGCAAGCCATATCTCCATGGGAGAGGGATCAGGCCAGTCTGCAGTGAAGAGGTAAAGTTCTTCATCCAGTGTATTGTCAGTGCTTTCAATGACAGGTGGAATACACCTTTTACTGTGCTATTTCAGCAACAGACTTGATTTTGGGGTCTGGGGGTGGAGGGAAGACATCAAATTAGAAAAGATCATATGAGCATTAATGGTTGTGATAATGCACCAGCCTGGCCAAGAGGTAATGCACTAGGAAGACATTTGGACCATTTTCTTTTCCACATTGAATTTATTTAGGGTGGGAAACAAGGTATGGATCTATCTCACCTTTTTTGTTTTGTTTTGTTTTATATACTTTTTATAAACAAGTACAGTAAGAATAACACTAGAAAAAAGACATGGTTAGTTGAATTGGTGGGTCTAGTCTTGACCTCTGTCTTTTGTTCCCATCTCCTACATGATAAAACTCCTCAGGGTAGCTTTCCTATGCCTTCCCACTTGTGCCAAGCATAGGAAGTCCCTCCTAGCCTGCAGTCCTGACTTTTTCTGCTGCATTCACAGCACAGCCTAGCAGTGGTGTGCAGGCCTTCCATGAAGAGCAGCCCAAGCACAGGCTCTCCCCCTGCTTCCCTTCCTGCAAACTTGTTCTGAGCAGGAGCCTTGTGTCTGCTCCAAGACTTCCCTTGCAAGCAGTAAAGGAAGAGGAGGTTTTCAGGGAGTTTTAGTTTTTGGGTAGTCTGAAGAGGTGAATCCTGGCCAAAGAGGGTGTCTGACCATCTCTTAGCCTCAGCACCTCACCACAGAACCTGAAGTCTAGCAGAACAATAACATTAATACTGATAAACTATCAGATAGATGCTGGTTGGTGTTAAATGCACCAACCCTAATACCAGGATAAGCTTTGTCACTTAATATGGAGTTGGCTGGGACATGGAAGTTCTGTTCATAGTCAAGATATGTCAGACACACAGATACATTAGTATAGCCAAACTCCTTCCAGAAAAAATTTAAAAGGATGGGTTTTAAGCATGGAACATCACTGGTGCTTAAGAGATTAAATTAATAAAGGAGCAGGGAAGTAAAATGTAATCACAAATCTCAGCTAGTTCTGTTTTCAGAAGATTTTGCCATCTTCTGCATCCTCCTGAGTGTAGGTCCGAGAAACTGTGTCCAGATGCCCCAAAGCCTGGCACATGATGTGAGACTGAGCCTTCAGTTCCTTCTCCTTACCAGAGTTAATTGAAGTCCCCTATGACTGCCACTCTGGTTTCTCCATCCCTTTCTTTATTTCTTCCCTTTCCTCTGAGCACTCTTTTTTAAAAATCTTTCTATTTTTTTTCTTATCACTATCAGATCATGGAGGCTTTGCAGGAGGAAATGTGACAGCTCTGCATGCAAGTAGCCAAACATTGCTTCATCTCCAGGGGGGAGCTTGTGCTTTTCATGCTCAGTCCCCATCCACTTTAGGGAGTCTGGACCATAACATATGGCATTCATCATTAAGTCTGCCAAAGCTAGGGCTGAAACAGAGGCTGAGCTGCATTAATGCTGTGATTTCAATTCCTGCTCATTAGCACTGTTATGAATTGTTCTTCATTTATGTTTTGTCTCAGTTCCAGAGCAAGCCTGCAGGGAGAGAGGCTCTTTTTGGGGGTGAGGCATGTCTGTGCCTATGCTGTGTTTTGCCTAATGCCTGAGACAGCAAGGACTGTGGGTGGTGGAGGGGGTGATGGAAGCTATTAGGTACTAAAGAAATACAAACTACTGACTGAAAAATCCAGTCACACTTGACTGAAAATCAAGACAATTCCAGGGTGTATCCTAGTAACAGCAGTCATCCCAAGTTCAGGACAACCCATTAGTAGGCTTCAAGGGTCAGTGTTACCTGAAAATGTAAAGCTAAATAGAAGCTGCCAAGTGTTAATTGGTTTGCAGTCATTCCTCTCAATACTGTTGCCAAGAAGACAGCAAAGGTGATGGAGGGAGCATCTCTGTTTTTTATCTAAGAAAATGAGATATTTGTGCTCTTCTGAAGAAATCAGACACTTGAAAGTAGAAGAGTCAGAAAGAGTTGATTTGCTGGGATTTCTATTGCATCTGTTGTATTGTCCTGAAGAGGTTAAGAATGTCCTGGAGATGCATTCTGGAAATGCATCCTCAGAAGCTTAACATAGCAGAAATCATGCAGGAAGACTATTTCCTGGAGACCCTATGCTCTTGTTTGCCTCAAAGAGTAAGGTGATGAACCTTTTCCTTTCAGAGAATCACGGGTCTTTTAAACAGCTGGACCTTGGTCTGAAGACAAATTACTTATTTCAGGGCTTTTTGTGCCTCTTTTGGAAATGAAAGTATAGTTATTCTTTATGTTTGTCTTTTATTTTTCTCCAAAGAGGACCTGATGTTTTCTGCTCACATGGAAGTGCCACAATATACACATTCTGTATACTACACTCTTCTGTGATGTCGTGCCAGACAGATGGACTAAACCAGCACATCCATCCACACACAGCTTTGTCCACTGCTAAGTACCCCACAGTGACAGGGTTTAGCTACTATGCAGAGCTATTCCAGTGATTTAAGCCCAGCAGCCTTGTTCCATTCTTATTTCTTCCAAATTTTGTCCTAATGAAAGTCATTTTCCCTTGAGTGGGTTTTGTAGGAACACCAAACACTTTGCTAAAGCAAAGGCTCTGTCACCTCCCTTTGTCCCAAGTACCAAGCATGTTCAGCATCCTGTGGGATTCCCTTCTGTTAGCCTGCCACCAGCAGTGGTTAGACATGGATGAAACAGGCATTGTTTCTGGAAATTCTTCTGATACCTCATGGCAATGTATGCTGCATTATGCCATTATTCAGAACCTCTGTCAGAATCCCTTATGTTCCTGATTTTTGCACTTTGCTCTGGCTTATTGAAGTTTAAATATGAAGTTTAAATACCATTGAAAATGGTATCAGACAGTTTGAATTTAAGAAGGCATCAGCTGTTAGCAAATTCTGGCAGCTTCTTATGGTGATGTTCAGGTTTCTCCCCAAGACAGCAGATTTAACAGGACTGAGCATACTCACATTCTCTGCTGCCAGCAACCCATCCCATGCTCATCATCTTCTACAACTGATTCCAGACATACTTACATGGGGGAAACAACAAATTCCACTGAAACAATCACCTTAGACTTACATAAGCTTATGCTTTCTGGTGACTTCAGCAATGTACTTTCTCTATAGACAAAAGGACTCTACACTTGAAATCTGTAATTTATTTTGTCTAAAAAAGCAGTTCAGACAGAGTTAAGGCAGGAGCTATGGATGCTTCTCTTTCAGCATTGCTGATTTTCTCATGAGGTGCCAAGAACCTGACATCTGGAGACAGGACCTTGTGCTGCCAGCAGTGGTGAGGCTTTCTGGCTTGTTCCATCCTCTGTGCTTTCTGACAGGTCAGCAGTGATGGGTGTAGGGCACCAAGCATATGGTTTCAATGTCAGACATTTCTCTTTAACTACTGGTGTTAGCTGTGTTTGTGATGCTGTTTGGAGAGTTAATCACAGCTTAAATAAAAAGATTAAAATCACCTTAACATTGGAATAATCCTTTCCTGAAAGCAAGGGGAACAATCCAAACTTGTCTTCAGGCTACTCAGAAGTATGAGGACAAAGCAGCTAAGGAAATAAGAGCTTGACTGTATACTTAAAAGAGGTTTAAGAATGCAAGTTTTTCTACCATTCTTATTTAACTAATTCAGTGCACATATCATGGTACTATTCTATTTTCTTCTATAAAAGAGTTATGAGGCTAAGGAGAAAAATAAATCAAGTGTCCCAATCCTCTTTGTGTAGTTGTTGCCAGAGTAGGGGATGGAAAACTTTCACCAGTGTAGTGAATAAAGCAGTAATCTCATTTCTTGTCACAATCACAAAACATTAGCTGAGTTGTTTAGAGCATGGTGCTAGTAGCACCAAGGTTTGTGGGTTCAATCTCCATACGGATTATTCATTTAGGAATTGGACTCCATGATTCTCATTGGTCCCTTCCCTCAGAATATTCTGTGAATCTGTGAATGTATGTTTGCACTTATTCTGAACACCACAGGACTGATTGGTAACAGTGTAACTCAAATTCTGCATGGTCACCAATGGCACTGAGCTAAATGCTTCACTTGGCTAGCAGAAAGGTAGCCAGGAGCTCCTCACAGGACACTGGCTGGGCTGCTACAATTCTCTGGAGAAGGGCAGACCTCACACAGTCTCAGGCTTGAGTATGATGGCCCAAGAGGTTGAAAGTTCTGAATTAAAATTACTGTCTGGATATAGAATTACTGAAAGCACTTTTTTTTTTTTTTTTTCCTAAGCTGTAATCCAGAGTAAGAACAACTGGCCTTTGGATAAGGTATGCTCAATTGCAGATGTAACCAAAAAGACCAAGGAGGAGTATGACCACCCAGCAAGGGAAGGAGCCTGTATCTGTATGCCTTCAATGCAAGGTAAGAAATGAACTTAAATTGCTTGATCTCCTACTTCAGGGACTCTATTAGGCAGTGAAGTTGCCTCAAGAGTTGCACTAAAGCATTGTGACCCTATGAACAGCACCAAGAAGCTTAGGCATGGTGCTAGATTGCTGGCATTTGTCACTGTGGCTTTAAATTTCATACCAGCTTGGTGTTCTAATCATTAAATCTACTTCCTGCACTTAAATAACTGTTAAATTATGTCTGAACAAGGTCTGCATTGTAGTAAAGCAGCAGCTCTAATCCAACTGAGGTTCAGAGCTTAAAGACTATTCCAGAAACTATAAATTTCACAAAAATGAACTTCTAGACATTTTTTGCAGCTCTCAGAGGTGCAGAACAGGGTTAGTAGTTAGCACATGCTAGCAACCTGGATCAAGTAATCTACACAACTGCAATTAAAAAAGAAAAACACAACCTAACCCCCACAAAAAAAACATCAACCAACCCACCAACAAAATCCCCAAACCCACAAACCAACAAACATAAAAGCCCACAAAAATCGTCTCTATCCTGTTTTTTTTTCTCCTACCTCGACTGAAAGTTGTCAACTCTAAATAAACAGATATAAAGAATTATGAATGTTTTATTTGCTGGGTCATAATGCTTATAAAGCTTTTAGGGAGACATACCAAGAACAAAGGGAAGTACTTGAGAATGCCTGCAGTGTGGGTCCCTTCCAACTCAGAATACTCAGTGATTCTGTGATTAGCATGAGGTATAATTAGGTGGGCAAAGTGTAAGAATTAAGATTTTTTTTTCATCTGGACTTTTAAGCAATCAGTTATTGCAGTAGCTGTATTGTAGGGTTGTAGGCTGTCCCTGAATGGAAACCATGTTCACTTTTTGAGCTGCAACTTCTCTTTTAACAACCTTCACATGATAAACACCATATTTTGTTCTTTTGAATCTGTATCTTCCTGAGACTGAAGCATTAAGTTCAGACCTGCTGTCAACATGAGACTGTAGTTTTAACTGAGAAAAGCTGTCAACAAAGCTACAGCTCATTAGAGAAAGGTGAGTGACTCCCAGTGGCAATTAGAGAAACACCATCGTTACTCATACTCTTCACCAGACCTGAAAGAAAGCCACTGTTGTCGAGAGTTGCTACTACAGCAGGCAAACTCCAAGAGGAAAGTTAGGGTAGGGGAATGAAGCAATAGCAAGGATACCATTTGAATGTTGCTTTTTGGAATGGGGGGCATCAACTTTTCAGAGGTGTTTTTTCTTTTAGACATATGTCAGTCCAAGGGCAGTACAGTTCATTCCTCCTCTGGAGATGAGGAAAGCATCAAGGAACCTTGTGTGTGCAGTTTGGGCTTGTGTTGGTGTTTACTTATATAAAATTTCCTATCACTACAGTCTCTGCTTTCAGTAAAAGGGCATGTTAATGGATCCACAAGTACAGTCCAGACAGATGCTATGGACTCATCTCTGAATTCGAACAAAGAGAGGATGCATAGCAGGCCAACAAAATCTCAATCTAAATCAACCACATCTAAAGTCCACACTACATCTGTATGTTCAAATGTAGCCTTAACTATTTAGCAACTGTTTAAGCACAAATTATTCTGGTCTTGCACTACAGAACAGCATGTAAAGGCATGAAGTAGCCAGGCACCAAACAGGACAGTGGGGCCAGGAGCAGAAACATGGTTCAGGAGCTGACTTCAGCAACGCCAAACATTTTTTAAAGGCTATTCCAGTGGATCAAAGGGAAAACAAGAATGTTTATGAATGTCCAGATTATAAAAGCAAAAGCAGGAGGACAACTTGTGTTTTGACTTTCAAGCTGAAAATCAAGAAGTCAAGTAAATGGATTCTGGCAGGAATAGCTTCACTCCTGTCAGTTTCATACTAAGCTTACAATAAAACATGCTGCTTCCTCAGTCTGCCTGATAGTAAAAAGAGAGATTTTTCACAGTCAGCTAAAGCAAAAGTGTCACATTAAGGATTGTGTTTTTTGTCTCACAAAAACACAATCCTTAATGTAACACTTATGTGGTCTATGTTGTTATTTCCTCACTCATCAATGTTGTGCTCATGTGTTTCTCCACATAACGATTATTGATCTCCAAGTACCATTACACTTGCTATGGGAAAGTAAATGGGAAACATCAGCATCAGGGTGTAGCTTGAATCAGAAAATACTCTTCTTTAGATCAGTCTTTATTCTCTCTACATAAAAAGAAATGTGTATATTACAAGATTTTAACATACTTTAACATGCAATACAAATATCTTGCATTTAAATGAAGTTGTTTGAAAGCCTGGTTGTACAAATGAAAAATATCTAAGTATGAACTGTAAGTAAAAAAATTTAATCCTGAACTCTGATATAGACCAGTTACAACAGGTGGGTAGATGCTTCAGGCAGCAGGTGCATTACACTGCAAAAACTGCTGGTGAGAAGTTTTGTTGGATTTTTTTACTGGGATATTTTAAGTTCTTTTAAAACACTCTTCTACTTTCATGTTTTGGTGAATAATTGCACTTTGGAATAAAACTTTCAAAAACCATCCTCGCATTGGTCGAGTGCATCACCTTTGGCTGGAATATAATGACATTCAGCTGAAAGTATCTTTTCCTTCTTTGCAAGGACAAGTTCTATAAACTATAGGTGGTGAAACAGGTTCAGAAAGCAGAGCTGGAAAAATCGATCTTTATGATCAAGCTGGTAGACAAGGGTGTTTTGTTTCTTTGAAGACAGGATGCTTTGAAAGTAGTTTTAAACACCCTTTCTGCAAACTTGCACAATTATATAAATAAAAATATTGCTCATTTTGACCAAGCTCTCCATCCTGTGGTTGTGTAGCTCTACTAAAAATTAACCACTTAAGGTTCAAGAGCGCCATTTCACTTAACATATAGGTCTGTGCATGTAGATTTCTCTACCAAAATATTTTCCTGAGAGATCTTTTGCATAAGACCATATCAATCAACAAGTTTCCAATAAAGAAATGAATATGCTATGTACTACAATTCTATTTTATGTAAAACATAGTAATAAACTTCTGAAGTCAAACTGTTAACATATTAACCAGTTTCAGGCACGGCTTGAGTTCAGCGCTCTCAATTGTCATCTGCCAGTTGTTTTTGTAAACTAGAAGATATAAGAAAACAGTGTTAGTGCTTTTTAGGAAACTCATAAATTTCCATTGCTGAAGATGATAACTTCCAAAACAGCACTTCTATACACTTCAGCCAACCAACAGGGATTTCAAAATAGGCAGAAGTCTTTCAATTTTTTAATCAAATTAGTTGTTTACACAGACAATATACACCATTTTAAATAAGCTGATTTCAGCCAAGTTAAAAATCTGAAATCCAAGAAACTTCTTTTGCATAGGTGCAGGATTTGCCCCAGGGCACAAGAAGTCAAATGTTATTTAAAGGGCTGTAACAGTTTAAAAAAGAATGACCAGAGGGCAGAGCTCTCACCTTTCCAGGTACTCCTTGACATTGTTGTAGCCATAGAACTTGGCCAGGTGGATGAGCATGCCGGTGGCACAGCGCCCGTCCCGCCGGCGGCAGTAGCTGCAGTTGCACACCCCGCGACAAGGAGGACAGATCCAGGACTGCAGGGGCAGGAGCATGGGAGGGGGGGAAAAGCAAGCTATGAAAAATGTTATACTGGACTTCCTCAGTATACTCGCTCAGAGAAATGTGAGTATGGCTTTCCCACCATGTCATTGTTCAGGACAATGTTTTACAAACGTCTGTCAGCCAGCCAACCTTATTAACATTTCCCAAATTCTGCAGGATTAAAGAAATTATTAAGTGCTTGAATACTTCTTACTCTGAAGCCTCAGGTTCTCTGATGTGCTCAGTATTAATTTTCAAACAGACTGAAGTCATCTGTAATGCCTAACACTCATTCCATGCTAGGATGACTGTAGTCAACTCCCTACAAAGAGATGGGCACCCACTGAGACAAGTTCCTTTGCCTCTCTCTGCCTGCTGGTACAGGACAATTCCTGGGACTGAATTAACCAGCTGATACATAAAGTCAGGCACCCCCAGCTGCCCAGCAGCTGCACATAAAAGCACAGGTGCTAATAGAGCAGCCACTGCCACACTGGGCTAGCACATCATGGCCATTAGTTAGCACTAGAGATCTGCTCTTGGCAAAAAGGTTTGAACCCCGTTACCATAAGCATATTCTTAACATCACAGATTAGGAACAAAACTGTATTCATTACACTTTCATTCCAGGTTCAAGAATGACACTTACTGGATCAAGCAGAGCTGACTTCACATCTTCCCCATATCGATTTCGAAGACAGGGTCCACAGAACTGGCCCCTGACCCCTCCACAGCCCTGCTTGCGACAGATTGTCTTTGTATCGGTTGTCTTCTGTCGACACTGGTGGCAAGTACTACCCTAAAGGTGGAATGGAAGAGAAAAACATTTGTATGAAGGACATCTTAAATGCCCCCATTGATGAGCTTTCCTGATAATAATAAGCACAAACTTCAAACCGAAGTCAAATTAAACAATGAAAAGGAAGTTCTGTTACTATGATAAATCATATAACGATGCTAGGAATTTTACAAGAGTCAGTGCCAAGTTTCAGTTGCATTAGAAGTCTCAAATTACATGAACCTCATAATCTTAGTTCTGGTCCTTTCTTCTCTCTAGGAAAAACCTAAAACTATTGAGAAAATGATCTTGTGACTCATCCCTGCCAATACCATGAAGCCTGACATACATGGTAAGATGATCTTTATGATAATCAATAGCCAAATCCAGTGAAAGCAAGGAAGGAGGACTTCCATTAAGAACACTGGACACTACATAATCTGTACAGAAATGTCATTTCCAGAGGTACAAAGAACAGCAGGGATCACTATTATTTAACACAACATTTTTATTAGTGAGAGGGACAAAAAGGATGCCAACTCTTACCAGTGGCAAGCAATAGCTATGGCAAACTTGACTTAATAGCTCTGTGGCACAAAAACACTTTTCAGGGGCAAAAAGCCAGTGGGGAGTATCAACCACCACAGCCAAGCCCAGAGAAGTCTGGCAAAGCTTTCAAAGCTGTACTTGTGTGACATAATAATGATGAGCTGAACTCCCCAGAGTCTCAGGAAAGGACAACTTTTAGCAAACACCAGTGAAATAGTGAGAGACTTTCAAGCACACAGACACACTGAAGAATACGGCAACCACTTACAAGAACTTTGTCATAGATTTTGTCTCTAACAGTGATTGCAATGTTGTCCAAGTCCTCCTCAGTTATGTCTTCTACCGGGCGATGAGATGAGTACTTGGTTGATCTCCTTCTTTTGCGAACTCCACAATCCCCCTGCTAAACAAACTCATCTCAATACCTTTTGTCTGATGTCATGAAGCATCTGTCACCACACTTGGTGACAAATTCCTTCATTTACAATGAGTATGCAGTCCACAGATGGCAAACTACAGGCTCATGCACCACTGGAAGAATAGGGAATAGTTTCCAAATCATCCCTGCCTCTTTCTCTCCCTCTCCCTCCATAATCTTTTCTCTACTACACTTTTTATTCATTTTATTTAATTCCTTTCCTTTATTACTACTTCTATTTGCACAAATCCTTGACATGTTTTACTGCTAACTTTTCTTTGCATTCCCTCTCCTCCTCCACTGTAACTCTTCATACTCCATTTCTTCCCTCTCAAAATCAAGAACTGTGATCATCTGCCTTCCCAGGCTTTCATCCTTCCATCTCCTTCTCTAGTTGCTTTCTCCAATGACAATCTCTAATGTCCTGCAAAAAAAAAACTCTACTGAAGTTTTAGGTTAGTCCTGACAATCCCAGCCCTTTTTTATTAACCTGTTATTTGGAAGAGAGTACTCCACTCACCATTAAGTGATGTTTTTTCCCTCTAAATAATCATTCTCTTTGACCCCTATTCATCACCCCAAATCTCATCAGATTCTTAGCCTTCCCATACCTGTCTCTGAAAACCTCATTTGTCCTTCACTCTAGATCAGTTCTGTTCTGTCCAAAACAGTCATTTACCAGGCCAGGTTCTCATTTGGTGCTACTCTTCTTCTTCTAATAGCCAAGTTCCCTCTATAATGCTTTAACTATGCCCAGCACTTGCTCCTACAAGCAGAACTGGGATCCAGCCTGTAAGGATTCAAACTTAAAGGGTCTTCCTCATAAGGGCTATAAAGAAAATATAAGCAAGAAAAAGGACCACCATAGGCTAGAGAAGGAAAAAACTGTATTTTTAAGATTAGGAAAGAGTAAAATCTGCAACTTTTCTATTACTAGCCTGTACATTAACAGTTTGCTGGTGCAGATTCCCTTAATTCGTTCTCAGTTCAGCCATTTAACTCCCATCTTCCTTCTGCTATTTCCAGAGAAGGATTTTTGACCTTTTTTTCCTGAGTCTGGTAACAGAGAAGATCTGCTTTGCCACCTCCACCACCCCACTGCCTTGCCACTCCAAGGTTTTGTACATTACGGGCTCTAGTAATTTTCTGATGAAGAATTAATAACAGACCAGAAGTTAACTGCCTTGTTATGCCTGAAAAACACTGGTCACAAATAGAGGCCACTTAACAGGTGAAAGATGAGACATAAAAGGCCTGGAAATAACTTCTTCTGTTGCTAATCCCAACCAAAGATTTTCAATAACTTTGCATAGGATGTGATGTCTGGTCTAAGTGCTGGCCAACAATTTAAATGTTTCCAAGTTCCTCACTACTGGAGATATCAAAATCTGGCAAATACCACACTGAGTCTCTTCAGGAGGTTTTGCTGTCTGTAGCTACAGATGTGTTCTGCAAATTTGACAGCTGACACAGTAAATTTTTCCAAGGCAAATTTTTCTGGTGGACGAGCAGTTCTGGTTGGGTTCATTCGGCGTGTTATCTGGCCTTCAGAGAATGTCCTCCTTGGGGTTTTCTTCTGTTTCTAGAAAGAGAAGAAAATTCCAGTAACTGTCTTTTCAGTTATGTTTGTAGTGTTAAACACTAGAAACAACCTGAAAATGTCTGTACTTAGTGTACAATTGTACTATCATGAATTGATCTACTGTTCTACTCCTTATTTGTTAAGCCAAACCCCACCACCAAATATACTCCCTACACACTATTTTTTTTGCTACTTTCAAAATCACCCCTTAACGTCAAATTCCGTTCCAATTAACATCACAGACCTAGACCAAAATTGAACACATGGCATATTAGGGTGGAAGCCAGTTCTCACTGCTCTTTGGTAGCTAAATATTCTGATTTTTCCACAATCTGAATATGCAATCATGGAACATTGAGGAATACACAGTTTGAGGAACAAGCTGAATTCTCGTTAATTTTCTTTTAAACTTTTTTAACTGAAAGTGTATTAAGAAGCTGCTTCCTTTAGTTCAAGATTTCTTGTTTTGGAGATTGTTGGGAGGCACAAGATACCCTCTTCACACTGTCACACCTCCTAATTATTGTGTGACTGAATTCATGCAACAGAAGTCCTGCATGGACATCTACCAAAGACATGGCCCTTCAAGGTTTCTTCAAATCTTTTCAGTTTATAATATGCATGGAAAAATGCTACTCAACAGAGAAAGCTGCTAAACTAAGCTTTCTCAGCTGCCTAAAGCTGAGAAAAGTAAATTGAAATAACTACTGTATAATTTTTGTGTTGAATGGCTCAACTTCATGAGCATAGTTCTGCTGGGAAGGATTTTAGAAGAAAGGTCTACAAGAGGGAAATTAACAGAATCTAAATCCAAAGCAAAGCAACTACTTTTCCTTATTCCCACATACTCAGACATTTGTCTAAGATCTCCAATAGTATTTCTGGAGCAAAAATGATGAAGTAGCATCTCATCTTGGTCTTTGTCTTTCTTCAAAAACTATCTTTAAAAATTCCATTTCCTCATGTAATCTCTGTCACTTTGCAAACCATAGCAAATTTATACCAATGAAGTGACCAAACCCTAAGGAAACCAGAACAAACTTGCTGAAATTTTCTAATGAAACACATTAAGTCCAACACCTAAGTCTAACAAAAATTACTGTCACCACCAACCAGTACTGGGAACTTACTGCAGGGGTCGAGGAGGGTGTTTTCACTGGGAACAGGTCCGGTATGGAATTCAGTTCTGCCAGCAGCTGGGCAAGCTGGAATCAAGTAACGGCACATTGAAAACTCACAGCAACTTACAAAACAAGCAACACCACCTACCATCCATTCCTCACATGCACTTCAATTTACAGCTAAACATGTGCAAGGAGCCTTTATGGAAGCATTTAAATAAACTGGAATTCATAAAAGGGGGTTATTTACTCTGCCATGAGCAAACAATACTAACTTTATAGCTCCCACTAATTCTTACTGGGAATTAGAACTAGCCAGATTTACATAGTATCTTGTCAAAACAGCACCAAAGGAGCACATTACAACATGGCAATGATTGATAACAAGAAATTAAGTACATATGATAGGAGGGAGAAAAAAAAGACAGGGTGCCAGAGGACAGCAAGATGTTCCCACTGAGCTTTTACTGACTGCAGACACATCTGTGCGCTTTGTCAGAGAGCTCTGCATCTCCTTAAGCAGTGCAGACACTGGGTACACACTCATTACAAAGTTAGAGAGCAACTAAGCCCCACTGGCAGTTCCCCCAATGCATGCATGTTCTGATCATGTACAGCATCAGAAGCACTTCAGCAGGATGATGATTTCTTGCACCGTGCACAAGATGTCTTGGAAGTACATTTCCACATAAGCAGTGGCCAATAGGTACAAAAAAAGCACTGACCTGTTCTGGAATTCCAGAATGAGGCTAACTTCTGAAAAGCCACTGGTAGTGGGGATGAGCCAAGCTGCTAGCTCTCTGAGATTGCCACAGCCATCAAGACATTAAAAGCTGAATACAGTATTTCTCAGTAAATACTTCAGTGTGGCATTTATTAAGAGCTATTTAATGCCATTACAGTACTGCTCCTAGGATGCCAGTGAATTTCACAGTGGTTGAACTGCAAGGAAGAGTGGAAGGTGAGAAGGACCAAGGAGCAGCAAGACCAACACAACAGCAGTGGGAACACAAGAGAGATTAGAGGTGCAGGTACAAAGCTGAAGCAAGTTTTTATACAGGAGCTGCAGGCCCACACCAAGAGGTATTGCTTGAGCCCCAAGATTGCTTGGAAGCTGCAACTTTCCCTGAAACACAGTAAAACTGAAGGAGCTACTAAAGACTGAACATCAGTTTGGATTACATAGCAGCATGATAATTAAAGAGAGCTGGTGGCATGTTGGATAATAAAGGAAAAAGCATTAGTAAATGATCAGTTGCTCTTTTCCACACACCTACACACACATACACACACATTCAGCAGTTATATAGTAAAGCCATACTGTAAAAAATCACATCCCACACAGCTGAGAAATTACATTTATCATCCTCAGCAGCTCTTAGCTGGCTTTCCAATCAGTAACTGCAGCAGATCTGTCACACACAAACAAAAAGTTGAAACACTATTGTGCAAACGACACCATAAACCACCTGAAAGGACTAGCTGGTTTTCTGACATGTTTTGGAGGCTGCAAAACTTGGTCATTTATAACTTTGTTCATATCCACATTAAAAATTCTTAGTTCTACTCTGGTCTTAAACTTGACCAGGCTAGTCCCTACTTAAGATTATTTTAGGAGTAAATGTCTGAGTGCTGAGGGTCCTCCAGGGTTTTTCCAGGTAGAAAAATTCACCATAATATTTTCCCAAAGTTCCAGCACAGCACCAGCAGGGACCCTAAAATTCAAGTATGCTAAAGCTAAGTAATTGGATGTAAATGTCAGAGAAAAAAACACTGCTCTTAAGTCTTACCATGGCTTTATTTTCTTTAATATTTATGGCTCTCTTAAGCAGTGCACTCGAACTTTCCTCCTGTGTTTCTTTAATGTCTTCTTCAGACTCTGAAGCAGAGCCCTCTACTTTGTCCGACCGCTTGAGGCTTATTTCTTTTGAAAGAGGTGTGAGGGATTCACTGTCCTTTAGAGGTAAATCAGACAAAGCCTGTTCAGGCACTTTTTTCTCAGATGACTTCCTGGTGGGAAACTGTAAAGCAACACGAAGGCCAAAGCTTCTTCTCTTGGGGGAAACCTTCTTCTTCATCTCTTCCTCCTCTTCTTTCTCATTACCCAACAAATTATTGCGTTCTTCATCACTCAAGTCTGACTCCACCATCTGGAAGTAAGAAAAATCCCACATTACATTATTGCCTCTGACATAAGAGAGCTAATTTTTAAATCACTAGTTCTAGACAGCAAGTCTTTCCACCCAAAGGCACCACCATAAATTCACCTAAATTAACATCTTTTTACAAGTTCACAGTACACAACATCTGCCTGTGCAGAGATCAACAAAACATCTACATATTAGCACTGTCTGGGATACAGACATGGCTGTCTCCCGAGGAACAATCTTGTCCAGTACAATCTACAAGCAGTGGAAGTAGTTCCCATTTCTAATATGTGATGCTACATTAAATAAAGCATTCTTTCCCTCTTTTAGGACAACACTTTTTAATTCAGCATGAAAAAAGAGCATCATAGTGTATCAGAAAAGTCCTACAAGAACATGAACTTTACACAGAAGAGACAGAAAAAAAAAGAAGTCAACACAGACATTCACATGTAGGTGTGACTGCCTTTACCAGAACTTCTTTCTTGTTCACATTCACCTCGTTTGAAGCGAAGCCCTCAAACGCTTCTGTTTCAGAGTCAGTGTCCTCAGTGAAAATCCTCCGCAGCTCTTCGGTGAGGTATCTGGACTGAAACTGGAGCCCCTGCAAAAACACCACTCGGGAGCTGTGAGAGGCAGTCAGATACAGAGTATTCACACAGCCACAATAAACAGGCTTTGAGGGTCAAAGCAGTGCCAACTAAATAGCATACCGTGAAAGCACTTTGCAGGCAAAGCCTGTCAAAAGAAAAACAACAAGAAGACAACATTCAGTTTCAATATTGAGTTGTTTTAACTTTGCAAGATTTTTTTTCTTCATTTTGAGGACAGGGCTTTAACTGAGCTACTTCTTGCAGGGGAAACTTTCTCCTTCACTTCTTCCCTTCTTCATTACTACCCAATAGAAATAAACTATCAGTTTTCTTGTATGTAAATTATCATGTTGTTTTATGTATATTCTTCTGTTTTATGTATTTTCTTCAACAGGCCTTGAAAAGAAGAAAATACAAATGAGAGATAGGGTCTGCTCCTTGTGCTGTTACACCATCACTGAACTGACTGATACCAACACAAATAATCAGAGCTTTGAACAGCCTGACCAATATCCTTCCACCTTTCAACTTCTCAACTCGCTGGTTTTTTGGTGCAGTTTATCATTCCCCTGTGTTCTAGGGTAGACAGCTCCTCAATTTCAGCCTATAGACCAGGAAGTAGTAGAAAGACCTCATTAAAACACTCTTCATGGTATGTACATTACATCCCAATTAAACACAAGGCTTTTACTAAATAGGAGTGTATTTCCATACTTACAACAAGAACTAGTAGAAAACCATTTAATCAACCTGTTCCTGCTAATCTCTTGAGAGACTTGTTCCTGGTAGGCATATAATCCATGTTCACATCACACCTGCCTCTTGAAAGTCAGCAACATATAAGTTTATTTCCCCAATTTTCCTCTGTTACTTCTTCCTCCCACACAAGAAACAAAAATTACCTTTAATACAATGCATTTGCTAAATATCTTTATTCTTCCTTTCAATTCCCTCCCCTCCCTGACTTTAATTACACATTTCTTTATTTTAAGATAATATCTGGTGAAAAAAAGATACAATAGACGAGTGGAAAAACTTAGAAGGGAATGGGAGGGGGGAGCCACTGCATATGCTGTTTCTTTACACTTAAACATCTACAAATTATTATGGGTAATTGTAATGAGTTTTCTCTGAGGAAAATTACTTTATTCTTTTGTTGATAGCTGCAGTGCAGCTGCTTGAGAAAGGAACGAACACAATAGGGAAGTTACTTTAAAGTTAAATTGTATTTCTGGGAGGAAACTGAAGATTTTATGTATTCTGTGTTTTTATGAAATTCCACAATGAAGGTTGATGGGGGAAATATACTATTTGTTAGCCACAGTAACTAAAAATAACACACCTACAGCTATGCTGCTTATCTATGAAGAACAGTCTACATCAGGTAAAATACACACCAGGGATACCTATTGTGGGAGAAATTGTGGGAACTCGGCAGAAGCGCAGAGATGATCAGAGCAGGACTGCAGAAAGCCCTGAGGAAAAGCGGGCACACAGAGGTCACTACTTGCTAACTCATTTGCACCTCAGCTTCCAAGGGAACACCCGATGCACTAATAGCCCATTTACCACCCCAGCAGGGCAGCTACCTTGCCTCCTTTCTCAAGAACTGCTGAATTTTTCTGAACTTCCCATCATTTTGCCCTTTGCACCAAAACCCTTTTGTTTCCTGCACAAGTACCAATGGCCTTTTGCAGCAATTGTGGTGTTTGGCATCATGAACACAGGATGATGCTCATCCTGATGCAGGGCCCTGATGTGCAAGGACTGCACATTATGCTGCAGTTGGATGGAACTCAGGATATTTTTATTGTACCATTTAGTGGTAAAGAAATTAAATTCAATACTGATCAAGATTTAAAATAATTCTCATCCCAAGGGAAACACAGAAATGATAAGGAAGGTTGCAAATGCAAGCTGTAAATCTGGAACAAGTCTCACTGGGATTCTCAGCAATGCATCTGAAACTAACTATCTATCTCTTCCACAGCACTTTTCATCAGAGGATTTTAAAATGCTTTGCAGAAGAGATCATTATCATAAACTCTATTTCACAAGTTGGGAAATCAAGGGAGGGAAAAGTACAGCCAGGTGTCTGCAGCCCCCAGGTAGGCAGAAGCTCCCACACAAGGTTTCCCCTCCACCACCAATATCTCTCCCCACTGACCCTTCTTGATGCTCCCCACAAAAACACAAACGCAAGAGCAAGCTACCTCCTGGTTTGCTGAAGTTGCCAGTACTGCTGTCTAGCAACAAGATTAGAAACCAACTTAGAGCCCAGAATTTAATTACATCTTAGACAGTATCTTTCTCCATAGCACAGACTGTGGCTCTACCCCCAAAAGGTTTCTGCACTCTCCTGGGGTAAATTGCCTACAAAGACTGAGAAATAGTACACATTTGTAACAAGGCTTATTCTGTCTCTTTCTTTGGCCAAGACTAATCATCTTCCTTGTCATCAGCACCTCTTAACCACGCTCTGACCTGATGAACTAGGAAAATAAAAGAAAAATAATTCAATTATCTCATTAATGAAACAGAGGGACCTCTGCAAGAGCACAAATGACAAAGGTATCTTATAATACATTAGCCCATGGCTATCAAGCATGTGAATTATATGTTTCCAAAAGACTAAAAACTAAATTTTTTGCCACCCAAGGCAGCACACCAGTTCTATTCTTTTCTTGTGAATTCAGCTGCTATCTCCAGCTACCAGAGAAGAAAAAATATCAAATCATTGTGCTAATCCAAGCCACTTCATCAAGAGAGCAAAGAACCAGGAGACTGCACTACTGCAGCAGGAGCTGATGCTTTCTCTGGATTACCACTATTAAAACACAATTTTAATGCAGAGACAGCGCAGAGATATTTCTGGAAGAAATATTTTGAAGTCTACATACTCACAAATGCCCATCTAATAACCAGCAACATCTTTCCAGGATGGTAATTCCTTTTTTTTCTGTTTGCTACACTTACCTATTTCACTTTAACTCATCTTCCAATGAAACACATTTTCTTTTTTATATTATAAAGGAGTTTTCAAAAGCAACCACTAAACCCTAAATACTAAGTTTGTTTACATTAAAGTTTAATATGGGCACTGTAAATTACAGGTTAAGGTGAGAGTTATAATTCACACAGTTTTGACACAGGCTCAGAGTATTACTGCATCCCAAGAGCATAACTGGACTATGGCAACCTGTTCCTACCTCTTTTCCAGACTCCTGGGAATCAAAACTAGCACAGTTGTTCTCTGACAAGAAGCTCTGTTGAGAAGTATCATCTTGGAATCCTGGAAAATCTTCACTGTCACTGGGGGTATTAAAAATGTTGGCCACATCCTTGGGTACCTGTTTCTTTTTCAAGACAAGACAGAAAACACGAGTCACACACACCAACTTAACAGGAAAACTCAAATTTGCAACCATACAACTTATATTTATATTCCTATGCAAACACGAGTCTGTAGCACAAAATATGCTATGTGTAAATTGTACCTTATTTAGCTAAACTCCAGGAAAATTCTGTATAGACTGTTTTAATCCCTGAATACAGACTCAGGATCTGGGATTGGGATTATGATGCAATACACAGGGTGTTCAGCTCCACAGGAAAGTACTTCAGAGACATAAAACTACATGTGTGCCTCATCTTTGCAAGTAGGAGCTCAGGGCACTCTTAGCCATGGGGAAACCCACCACCCCTCCAGCTCTTCCAGAGCAATGATGGCTCAGAGGTGAGGGACACAACCTCAAACAGAACACAATGCTAAAGTACAAAGGAACCTGACCTTCAGATCCCACAGTACCATTATGGATTTTAGCAGACACTCGGCTAACTCCAAAAACAAAACCAATGCAACTCCTTCTCCTTGGTCAGTACTGTCACAGAGCTTCTCCTGTGATACTGGTTAAGAGAGTGAAAATGTGCTAACCAAGAACATTTCTCCTTTGCTAGAAGCCCACCAGGAGAGGGGGAAGCACAGCCAAGGGCAGGCAGCAGCCTTCCTGAGGTGACCAAGGTCACAGCTTCGGCATTCAAAAAGTCCAGTCCCAGCCTAGGAGACTCGTAACACCACCTCCAACCATTCCATTGGGCCATATACTTCACAGCAAACACTTTGGAAAAGGCTCTGCATGTGCCAGGATAGTAAGAAAGCCTTCAGACAGTTCCCATGTGGGCTGCTTTAGGATCTGGTGTGTGTAAGGATGGGATGAACAGACCAAGCCTTAAAAACCAAGGAAGAAGGCATTTTGCCAAGTTTCAGAACACATTTTCACACATTCAGGTATCACCTGCGAAACCATTCTGTCAGTCACACAAATGCTCTGGGAGAAAAGCATCTGCATTCCTCACCAGCATCCAGACACTCATCCCCTACGTCCCCTGGACCACATACACACCTCACACAAACCACTCCAACCTGAAACAAGCCTCTCTGCTCTCTGCTAAAGCCACACTCTCATTAACTCTCAGGAACACGAGATCAATGGCTGCCAGGTCAGAGGCCAATTCCTCATCTCAAAGTGCTGTTTTCCAGCCCTGAATACCCACCAGTACATCTCAGAAATGAGGTTCAGAACCGAGAGCAGACTGCCCTTTTCCACTATCACAGAAAACCAAGGCATATAATGATGATTTTTTTTTTCAAAGTTTACTAGTGGCAAGGCAAGTGACCCAAAGGAGGCTCATTCTCCAAAAGTTATATAGCTGCAAAAGCTCCACTTCCATTAAAATAGCAAGCAGTACCTCCACCAAAGCATCACTCTCTGAAATAAGCTACAGTAAAGGGTGAAAAATTTTATTCCAGTTCTGATCTTATAAAGCTGATGTAGGCTGATGCAAAACCAACTTACTGTTGCTGGAGCAAGAGTAGATTTCACCTCTGAAAAACTGACCCTCTCAGGCCTATAATGGCATGATCCAAAGTACAGTTGCTGAAGTCATGCTGTCCATATCCAAACCCCTTTGGATATTCCCTCACTCCTACCTCCTACAGTGAACATCCAGAATACACTTCTGCTGCTGTGAAAGTAAGAATTTACTTAGTACAGAGCAGTGCTAAAATGAAGGATTATGCATTTTAATGGAAAAACATACGAGGAGCTGAGAGTCTCCCTGCTATGAATAAATTGCTTCCAGGAGCCACTGCATTAGTTCTTGTGCTAATCCACAGCTGAGTTAGCCACTGCTGTGATTACTGTATGCCTGATTTCTTCTTCTTCATGTATTGCTTCTTCATCTGCACCAGAGGAGTCATTTATGAGGCTATAATTATTGATTTTGAACAACAACAAAAAAATTCTTTCCCAGTAGGAACTTAATTTTTTGCATTCCCAAATTCT